CATTTAGTGCCCGGCTAATTTCATCGAATGCGACATTTTTTTTTCTTTCCAGCAACCACGGGGACAAAAATGACATAAGTGCAACGACAACAGCAAAAAGCTCGGCCTAAAAAGCCCCTCGCATGACAAGCCGACTCGTCGAGGCCAAAATGAACGAAACGGCCGTCTTAGCGCAATATGGGAATACTTCGGGAGGAAAACGCAGGGTTGACGATACACATTATCTCACGATACATCTTTTTTTCTTTTTTTTTTGTTTCTGTCTCCCGCACTTTCGTCAGCACTCCCGGAAAGTTGCCAAGCTCTGAATCGGTTCTGGGCAGAATATTGAAATTCCCTTTTCTCATTTCCTTCCCTTCGACAGAGGCGAGTGTCCTTTTTTTTTTCTATCATTTTCTCCTATCTCTTTGCTCTAAACCGTTCCACCCACGCGCAGCAATGACGCTCGGCGTCATCGACGATGCGCCTCTATAAAGTAAAACGAAATTTAACTGGTATATGTATTTATATATATATATATCGATCCCTCGGCGAAGACATAAAAAACGAAAAGGTCGTCTCCAAGTACGCGCGCACGGTTTCCTCTCTCACTCTCTCTCTCTCTCTCTTTCCAGCTGAGAAATAATAGCAGAATATACGTTACGTTATATTTAATAAGAATATACAAACACGGGGCCCACATGTGTGTGTTTTTTCCTCTTTGTTTATTTTTTTCCTCGTTATATCTCATCTACATCGATAGTACTTTAAATTCACCTACTCCTTTCACCCTCCCCTCCATCTCTCTTTTTTTTAAACTTTATAATAATATACTGCAATCGCTATCATATGTTTCTTTTTTTTTTTTCTTCTTATGCTTTGTTATCATACTCGATAATTACGTGTTATAGACAAGCGAACTGTCGCGGAACAACCAAAGGAAGACCTTAGAAACAAAAAAAAAGGGGGAAGAAAAATTGCGAATAGCAAAATTACAGGACTCATACGCGACAAAAATCAAAAAGGGTTACAACTTTCGACGGTTTTCGCGAGGAATCTTCTCTCTCACTACCTATGCGAAGCTACGGTAAAATCTAGGAAACGGAAAAAAAAGAAAAAAAAAAAGGAGAACAAAGCATTTATCCGAAAGTGCTTTTCGAGGTTATACACTTAAAGACATTGAGAAGGAATTAAATCCGGAGCTTGTGGGTATTACTTAGATTTTTACGTTTTTTTTTCTTTTCTATTATCCTCGACGATCGTTTAAGACGACTCGACGATGTTAAATGACTCATTTTTTTTCCTCTCTCTTTCTTCCCCTCTCTCCCCGTTCTCGTTTCTTCCGCAGATTTTCCGGCGAGGAAAACTCTACCGGGGCTGAGAAAACGAAAAGACTAACGAGCCGGCACGCTAACGAAAGCCCAATGGGAAAACCAAGGGAGACTCGGTCGAACCCGACTGCCGGTGCACGTGTTACAATATTAATAATCCTTCATTTTTAATCACGGTTTACCTACGGGCTGCGCCGATATATAGCGATAATAGCGAGCTACGAAGAGACGTTGCAAAACGAGACGCGAATTACATTTCGCCGGAGTAAGTGCGAGGTCGCACCTCATCTACATATACGATAATCTCGGCGACGTCGGCGACTAATCGCCGGATTTAATTGATAATTGATAAGTTTTGCGATTCCCGTATACGTGGGACCTCTGCATTGCCGGTTACTTAAGATTAAACAGTGTTATCATTGTGAAAGTCCTCTGTCGTTGAAAAAAGTTCTCAAAAACGCGACATTTAACTGCAGTTTAACAATCTAATCGCCCATTAATCCACGTTAATGCAAGGTGCACTTCGCCTTAAACTATCGTGACTTTCTAGGTTATGTGACACGTGAATTCGGACACAAAGACGGTGTGATAAACGGAGTAAGGATGGAGGTTAAACCAACACCGAAAGCGTTGTCGCTAAGTGTGCCTCCTATGCTCAAACGCGTGATAATAGTCGTGTTCTCCTGCATTGATAAGCGAACGCAGCGCCGCCAGAGAGTAACTATCGGCGCCTCACCGAGAAAACAATGATAACCACCGATACAGCGATGGCCGTAAGTGCCATCCCTGTTCCGCTACACTCAAAATATACAAAAAAAATTCCCTACACATCGCCAATGTGTCCAATTAACACCTAACATGTCTCTCCACATCCAGACAGCAAGATAAACCCCCCAGCAACGCAGAGATACCCCACACACGAGGATTCCACATACACGGTGCAGCGCTTCGAGCGAAGCGCATGCGCGGACGCGCCGCAGAAGTCATGAGTAGAAGTCACGTTACAAACACGATACAGGAGATTACATCCGTGGGTTCTTTTTTTTTTCTCTCTCTCTCTCTTTTCGAATACAACTAGTCGCAGGCGAGTTTTCACCTTCTTCGTGGGCCCCTTATTTTTCTACGCTTCGAACGAAAGTCGGGCACGGTTTCCACTTTCCTCTTTCATCCCATATCCCTTAAGGCGACACGAAAGTGGTCCCTAAGAATATCAACCATTCATAAGACCATTCTCCAAACCGAATGTACCGAATCGTTTAAAACTACACATAACCGTAGACAACAAAAAAGGTCCCGACACCCGTGAAATCTCACTTTTTACGCAAAAATGTTGAAAATATCCATAAACAAATTTGAAATAAAAAAATTTCATGGGTGTCAGGACCTCCCTTATAGCCTCCACATTCACACAGTAAAGTTTGAAACGATTCGGTGAACCGAATTAGGAGAAAAGTGAGATTGACGTCACTTTCATACCGCCTTATCATGAGCGCCTATCTTCCTCCTCGTGCTATCCTCCCCGTTCTCTCTCTCTCTCTCTCTCTTTAGAGACACACCCCCTTAATCTCGGCTCCCCATTATATATCACTGATTCTCCCTGATAAGCAGGTGGAGTCTCTCGACGATTTCCTATCAGTCATTGAATATATCAATATACATATGTGTATATATATTAATGCGCGCTTTTAGAGCTTCCTTCTTCATCCTCCTGGTATCGATTAATGCGGACGTATCGATTAGTCGCTCGTTCGGTCGTTCACCTCGCATTGGAGATCCCCGGTGCGATGACAAAATTGTTGCGGTCGCATTTACGCGGTTACGGGTGAGACGCATTGTTCATGCGTGTGTACATTGTTTTAATCTGTATATACGTGCGCATATATAGGAGTATATGTATACATGTATCGTCGATTTACACGCAGGTGGTACCGGGGGTGGCTATTAAAGTCCCTCGACGAGCTGTCGGGAAACCGTGAACGTCGCAACGGGTGCACATGCACATGCACAAAACGCCATTTCATAGGATCCTCGGGTCGGAATCCAGTTCAGGGGCCGGGGGTCTCTCAACCGAAGGGAAACTGACGATACGCAGCGACTCGTCCGCGCGGAAAAAACGCGCCGCCCGGGGAGCGGCGAACAGCTGACTCCGGGGAACTCCCGACCCCGAAGTCGGTAGTGACGAATAAAGTCGATGTTGATCTTGTTCTTTATCTTGGTCTTGTTGGAAATGCGAAAGGCCTGATATCTGGAAGATCGAGGCAAACACTAGATCGTGGATGACCGGATCAAGAGCAAGATCAAGAGCACAAGGCCAAGACCGACTTCGCTCGTCACCAGGAGTCGGCGCGAGCCTCCTTATGATAGACCTCCCCATATTATTAACGTTTAACATTTTTCACGATTCCTTTTTTTTAACAGTTACACGTGGCGCGCCTTTCGGTGTCGAGGCATGTCCGTGTCCGATTAACCCTTTGCATCAGACATGTATTTTAGTGTCAAGAACGGAGACAAGTGGTCTCAGGAACCGCCTTAATTTTTTCACACTAAAGTGCGTTGATAATATTTTTCAATTGTGAAAATTAAGCCTTTTAGGGAAGGTTATGGCATTGTAATGGTCAAGTTAGGTTAATGAAGAGTACAGAGAGATTGTATCGATGAAGGTATGGAATGTTCCTCTGTTTAAGTCAAGGACTTAATTTCATTTTAAATCGCTCTTGACTTAACGCGATATGAAAGTGCCCTCAAAGAGGTCTCATTTATGAAAACATTTCTCGGTACCGAGTATACCGATTCGTTCCAAACATTACAATGTGAATACGGGAGTCTATAAGAAGAATCCCGCCACCCGTGAAATTTCATTTTTCATAGAAAATCGTATAAATGTCTATAAACAAATTTTTCAAAAATTAAAATCTCACGGGTGTCAGGACCTTTCTTGCAGCCTCCACGTTCACATGGTAGACTTTGAAACGATTCGGTACACCCAGGTCGGAGAAAAGTGTCATAAACGAGACCTCTTCGATGGCACTTTCGCGCCGCCTTAAACATGGTCAGAAAAAATTCCTATACGGGCTTATAAATCAATCATCGGAAACGCCTCGACACCCCTCGGCTCAGATTTAGTTACGATTCGATTAAATACGATTTCTGGCTCGCCTTATCTCTTTGAGGAAAGCCTCGCGCTTCAAAGGTACACCCGAACGCACGAAAAATCGGAATTCTTTAGCAAGATTAAGTTTTTTTCTTTTTTTTTTTTCGCAGGATGTCGCAATTGTTTCACAGATTTTGTAAGTTGCGGTTGCAAAATTTCCTCCAAATCACCGTCTATATCTATCTCTCTTTCTCTCTCACACTCTCGATCCATTCTCAATCCGTTCCTCTCGCTTTCCAGCTCGTATCCTCGACACTCTCGGGCTCGCTCGAACCGAGCTCTCTATAAAGATTTCTCTCATTGTCTTAATGCACTTTTACGCGATAACAAATCTACAAAAATATAACATCTCACTTATCACCTCTCAATTATATTATCTCGATAAACGGCTTATTCTCTCTCTCTCTCTCTCTCTCTTTCTCACCCTCTTTCGCACTCTGGTTCTCTCTCGCTCTTTCTCTCAATTGTTTCCGCGCTTCGTCGTGTATCCGCGCCTCCACCGAGTCGTTTCCTCGTTTAGAGCTATCATTTACAGTTAATCGTGTTATCATTATATATATTTCACTTTCTCCCCTCCGTCTCTCTCTCTCTCTTTTTTTTTCTGTCGTGCCGTTCCGCTTTGCCGGTTCTTTTGAAGGGGTTCAGAGTTTGACCGCTTCGCCACACGACTTCATCGACTCCTCGGTTTCTCTTTCGTTCTTCGAAATTAATATCCCTTAAATTGCGAATTTCCAAGAGTTCAAATCGCATCGCCAATTCCTTCCACTTCGTCGAACGAATTTCTAAGACCGAGGAAAATTCAAAAAGTTCGATAAACTCGCCTGGCAAAGAGATCATCTCTCGAACCCCATTAATTACCCTTTACTCGCGCCTAAGTCCGGGATGCGATTGCGAAACCTTCGCCTCTCGATTTCCCCGTTTTCATTTTCTTTTCCCTTCTTTTACGCAACCTCGACCAAATTTGCTTTGCTGGACAATTTAATGGGAAGGTCTAATAAAGGAAAAGAAAAGGAAGAGAAGAGAATCACAGGTGAACAGATTTCGCAACTGCACGATCCCCTGATCTTTTTCGTATGTCTACACTTCTAAGCAGGATACTTGTCGGTGCTACCGTTCTCCGGCTCGCAACGCGAAAAAGAAAAAAAAAATTAAGAAAAAAAAAACAAGAACACGCTACCAAATTTCCCTATACATATACACCGTCAATCGCGCCGGCACTTCAATGTGACCGATATCATATGTACAATTCATCGAAGGACACGGTACACCATCGAAAAGACAACGAGCCACCTCGTAGCGTAAACTCATCGCCTCGAAGTACCCATCCTTGCTCATGATCTTGCACCTCTTTTCCCATATCAACCACCATCAAGCCAGAACCTCTCGACCAAACTTGAATTCGTCCACGATTTGCAAAAGAAAAGAAAAGAAAAAAAAAAATGCCCAAAGAATCCATATGCACCCACTTGATTAGCCGAAAAATCAAACCACACGTACACTTCATTTTAAATATTAATAATAACGATAAACTAAGCTCAATATTTAATAGGCGCTTCCGACCACCATTGATTTGATCACTTAAACAAATACCAGTAATTCTCTGATCAGGGATTATGAACAACCGATAAATACCTTCTCCCGGTAAATTTTGTTACAGAACCGTTTCAGTCCAGACGTTCAGGCTTGATTAAAAAAAAGGAAGAAAAGAATAGAAATTAATAAAAAGCTCGAATCGTCCTTTCGACCGTACCGAGTCCGGTGTTAAGGTGCAATCGACACAAACGCCTTATACTAGTTCCTTTATACAAAAAAAAAAGAAGACCGCCTTCGATAAACCTCTGCAATCATTCTCCACGCGCAACAGCAAATAAATACATGTCTGTGTGTGTGTGTGTGTATGTGCGAGTACATATCTGTGGAGTGCGTGTCATGTAGTGACATTCGTGTAAACAGTGTAGGTGTCGTGTGCGTGTACGTGTACGTGTATATATAAACGCATCTCGCCAGCACTAGCGCACGTAAAATGCACTCGTACACGGCCGTATATATCGCAATACGTCGCGCTATATATGTACAGCATTCGTGTAGTCGCATCGATCCTATTATAAATAATATATTCACAGAGCCTTCCACTTCTCGCGAGCGCGCCCTGGCGGAGTTTCCTCGAAACTCCGCGACGGCGCGCCCCCGCTTCCCGTCGACAGGATGTACGCGAACATACTAACGTGTATAAAAACCCGTACACCCGGTGTACGGAATCGACTTACGGTTATTACGCTACTCGGGAACCCTACTCTCTAAATCATATATAAATATATATTTTACCTATATGAAAAGCATCAGTCTCCATACGCTAAGGGGCATCCCGACGCTCCGTTCCGTTGCCGAAGACGCCCGGCTCGAGGAACGGGCCGGCGGGATCGTCGAAGCGAGCGTTTCATATGATACCGGAAAATATATATTTTCGTAGTAAAAAAAATAACGACGCTCCTTAGGAATTAAATACTTATGACGCAGTTGACGACTCGTTCTCTCCTTAGTAAAAGTTAGCGCGCACGCATACACTAATCAGTCGAGTTCATATCCCACGGTGAGACGGGCGAGCGATGGCTAGCCCGGCCAAGTACGAGCACTTCTTTTTCATTATTTTTTTTGTTTTGTTTTCTGCGAACTTTTTTTTTCTTCTTCTTTTGTTTCTTTGTTTTGTTTTCCCCCCAATAACCTCCGGCTTCGTTCTCTATCATATAAGAGTGTGGTAGATATTTGGCAGTGAGGACATCTCGTGAATGTGTCGAGTCGAAAACGGGGCAGCTCCACGTCTTATCGTAGTTTTTGTCGGCTTTTTTTTTTTTTTGTTCTCTCCTTCAAATACAATTCGACGTGGTAGATGCACAGTGTTGTCTTTACCTACAGTACAGAGTTTTTGGCCCCACCAGAGCTTTTTACGAGCCTCGAGGGAGCTGTTGCTGCGGCGATAAACATTTCATTGTCAAGTTTCCTATTCTCGATTTTCTTTTTTTCCTCTTTTTCCCTGCCCCTTGGGTCTTGATAGCTTTTACCTCGGTTCCTCGTCGAGAGTCAACATCGTACGTATCCAACGTACGTACAGTGAACTCCCCCGGTTACTTTACTCATTAATGATTTTATTTCAGGCAATTAACAGGGTTGATTACATTGGAATCGGGGCGTACTGATTAAGAGAAGAGAGGGAATTATGCGTTTTTGGACTCGTCGCGAGGGTAACTTCCGTTCCTGTCGAGGAGGCCGATTTAAACGTGTCGGCGACCTCTCGATTCATGAACGTCGGTCGCCGCTTATCAACCCCCTTCAACGGTGCGGCTTCTCCGACCGACCCGGACGAACGAAAATGCGAAACGAATTAATTAATGCCAATTACACACCGCCGACGATCGGTATCTCGTCGACCCTCGAATATTAACCGTGACAACTCTCGAATAAACCACGAGGCTAACTCTCCTTTCCTGGAAGTCTCGATGAAGCAGCTTTATCGAGCTCTCCCCTCGTCCCCCTGATATCCAACTTGCCGCTTCGCGTTCAACATATGTACAACGGTAACGCCTTGAGGAAGTTCCTGACATCCAAATGTTTACAGTGCAACACACAACTCCTCGAGCAACGTATAACTAGATTGGTTGCAGTCTTGAGTCACGTTCGAGGGGTGTTTTAAGAGTCACTTTTAGAGTTTCGGGTTTTAGTGCTGGTCTACCTCCGTTTAATTCTCCGCCACGACCGGCGTTACCAGCGGAGCGTCGCCCTGACCTTTCTCGATGGGTTTACCATTTTCCACGGCGTCGTCAAACTGGCCTGGCACTGATATCACTTCTTTCGCGACGTCCAAAGTCGAGATGGACTCCCTGAAAGGTTTAAAAATCCCCTCGATAACGACCGATGAATACTAAAAATATTTAAGGCGATGCGAATGCGCCGTCAGAGGCCCATGAAGTATTGTTTCTTTTTTCTTTTCTTTTTTGGATAACTCGAATGGCACTTTTTCATCGCCTTAACCGTACAGAGTGCGGCTAAAATTCCCGTAGTTTTAGAACTACGTTCGTAAGAGAAGCGAGAAATTAATTGATTGATTGATTGATTGGTTAATATTGAAACTTACGTGTATCCATCGGTCACACCTTCGACCGCGACGCCGCGAGCTTTAGTCTCCTTCTTCTCGTTCTCTTTATTCTTCTTATTAGTAGTCGTTTTCTTCTTACCAGTAGCCTAGAACCATTGTACCATCAATTCCTTATACCGAGGGAACCTTGCATCACGGCACGACGTGTGTCTTTACCTTTATTTGTGTTTTCTTCCCACGGCCACCGATTTGATTGCGATTGGTTCCCCGTGTCTGAAAAGTCGGACGTGCAATCGGATTGAACCCACGAGGAAGTCCGTACTTCACGCCGCCAATTGACGTCACCTGTAACAAAGAGATGAATTATTAATCCATACGTTCGAAACGAAAAAAAAAAAAAAAACGAAGAAAAACAGCCGAACAAATCGTGCCACTAAAGATTTCAATAATATGAACATCTGTTAAACGTTAACTAAATTAACAGGACCTAATATTTATGTACAAGGGTGTCATACTTTCAGCGTTTCAATTGTCAGTTTCTACTCGACGTAAATGCAGTAACATTCAACCAAGTCGCTGACGAAAATTTAGAGAATCTACTTATACATCTAAGCCACTTGCAAATACAGTTTGTCGACATGCAGATGCAAAAAGCGAATCTACGCTCACGCTTAAACTGACTAACGTTAAATCAAGTTATTTCGATTTGAGGAACCACGTTCAATGCATTTCGATTTATTACTCTGTACAAGTCACTCAAGTTTAAGTAAACTTTCGCGAAGATCCCGACGAAAAGAAAAAAGAAAAAAAAAATGCATCGATTCCTTATCACCTCTAAAACGAGCTCCTTAAATCGAAACAAGGTCGCAAATAAGAAACACAGCATCGAGTATTTCATATAATGCAGATATCTTTATTTATCCGTGAATAAATGCAGTATATAAAAGAGACATGTAAACAACGTAAATAACAATACAGGATTACAAATGTGCTGCATTAACGTGCACCACGAGTCGAGTAAACTCCACGATGGGGAGAGGAAAAATGAAGAAAAAAAAAAAAAGAACTCGAGAGGATGGACAAAGAAGTCAAATTTGCTTCTCAAGAGATATATATATATATATATATATATATATATATATATGTAAATACATGCATGTATATACTCAGCGGATTTCTAGGAGAAAACGGGAAATTCTGAGTTTATTGAATTCTATCGTGGATAGTCTTTGCTCCTCTGAGTGATCTCTGCGAAACTCGTTTCGGGTGCTTCTTGGCCCATATAGACACAACGATACCGTACCATAGTCAGACTGCGATTGCACATGCGATATCCTACCTGGGGCGGAAGTCGGCCACGGGGATGTCCTTGAAGAGGCTGCGGTAGACGTCCAGGCTGTCCATAATTCGGTCCCCATTGTCCAACGACGACTCCTGCGATTTCCAGCTGGCCCCCTCGCGAGAGCACCGGGCGACGCATAAGTCCACGCTGTGGAATATTTCCAGAGCCTCTTCCTCGCACGAGACCCTCGTTGATGGTGCAGCCAGCTGGGAGAATGTTCTGAGGCACCGATACTCGGATCCCTGCACGCATAGAGCACTCTACAATCACCAGAATTCCCAAAATCAGTCTGAATTACTAATAACGACCTTATTGAAAAAAATAATTTATTAAATATCCATCCAACGGAACCACCTGAAAACATTTCCTGACAAACTTGAAGTCCTAACGTAAACCTATCCGTAAGGATTTTTGGTACGATGGATTAATTCTTACGTAATATAAATTCTGAGGCTTGAAGTCCTAACGTAAACCTATCCGTAAGGATTTTTGGTACGATGGATTAATTCTTACGTAATATAAATTCTGAGGCTTAGCCCTGACACAAATGTGGGTTTGCGGTGTGAATGATGAACATAATTATTATCAGTATATGATAAATATTCAATTCTATATATTGCACGTAATCTGTTACAGATTAGAGATCCACAGAGTCCAGATACCGAGACTCCATGGAGCAATATTGGCTGTCTTACTCTCCTTCCATTATGAAGCGAGCATTTAGGGAAGGCAATGCACGCTAAAGGGTATCTGGAAGGTGTTGGATAGAGCCTGAGGTCAACGTGTCCAAGATTTTACTTTACCTGGTGCTACCGGCAGAGGAGGACGAGCAAACTCCACGTTGATCCCTTCAAGTACGGCCTTACGCATCCTCTCTACTTTAACTACGCGATCGATATGTCCACCGCAGAGTTCCAACAAGTTCTTGGCGACCGTCGCCCGTGCAAGAGTATGGTGGAACAGTTTCCCGTCAAAGTAGAGCCAGGGACAGCACATCAACCAGGGAATCGGTGCGCCGCAGGCGTCGTTCGCCAAAAGGGCCGTCTCGACGCCGGCCATGAACAAGGTTGCGAGTTGTACACCTCGCGACGTCACCAGCGGTAGCTGTAAAAAAAAAAATCCATAGTCAGTTCTAAAATGCACATTTACCGTCATCCCCCCATAACGAGAAAATGGCTAATTACCTGCAGGTCTTGCAGGTATTGCGCATTCATAAGCTCCTGCGCAAACGCCTGGGCAATAAAGGCATCCAGCTCCTGACGTCGCAAGATCTTCACTTTCTCAGAAAACGACATGATATACCTGGTGACGAGGAAGAGGATGATTAGAATCCAAAATGACTTTTGAAATATGTATACTGCTAGTGACTCGATTTGTCCCAAAGGTTTTCAGTAGCGGAATGAGAATGTACATTCGGCTACCACACGTTCATTTGAGGTATCCTTCGTATACCTGTGATTTTTCCCTCGACATTTAATATGGTAATATTAATCTACGTAATAGATTATACACAGGTGTTTTTTTAAATTTTACTGTGAGATAAAAATATTCATGATTACCTTAGCACACACGCCATCACGAGTAAGTGCTGCGGCACATGTGAAGTATTCAGCATGAGTGGCGTATCGGATCTCATACATGTCAGGAATCCTCTTAATCTGCGGCGTTTGTCATCTATGCCGGTGCTGGAAAAAGAATATTATTCGTACTACAAAGAGTGATCGGAATTCGTGATAAGCTGACATCCTTTTTAATAGTAAAACCTAATGCCGATACTATTTTCAGGGCTTGCTGAATTTAGAGCGATTATCGTGATTTCCTGTTAGTTTCCCACTCAGCATATCACAAGAAATACACATATAACAGGGTGACCAGATATTCCATACTTGTTAAAGAATTATCCACATCGGCAGCATCTAACTTACTACAATGAATCGGATAAATCTAAGGATGACTTCTAAAATCTGACGATATCATTTATTCTAATGAATGTCAAGTGGTAAATCTTTTAAACCGAAATATTCCACACGTTATCTTAGAAATACGAAACAGACATCTGATCACCCAAAATCACAACACCAACACACAGAGCATTGGACATACCTATGATGCCCACGAGAGCTGCAATGAGTACGTTTCGTTTATAAAATGAAACTACAAAGGGATCAATGCCTTATGCGGCCCTATAAATTTGGGATATATAAAATGGCTGGTCTCTAACGCCAATCTTAAAAAAAAAAAAAGAAAGAAAGAAAAGAAAAAAGAAAGAAGAAAAAGTGCGAAGAGAATCACACCGTTAGATAACGGTTACTCACCCAAACCAGAGACGTTGAATCGTTGGAACTCCCCAGCCGATCTGTTCTGCCTTGACCAATTCCGGCTTTTGGTAAGGATTCGTTTTCGACCATACCCACTCCTTAATTACGACGTCAGGTATTTCAACTTTCTCATTATCTGTCAAATAAATGAAAAAAATAAAATGGAATCACGACAATTCTATCAACACTCGTTTAACAAATTACTCAAGACTTACCTCCTTTTTCTTTGTTTTTATTAGCCAAATACAGGCGGTGGTGGAGATTGAACAAAATTGCATAAACCATCTGCCTAACTGGTCTATAAATCAAATGAATGGAAGGGAACTCTCGAAGAGTCTCATCTTCGAGGAGCACTGGCAGTTTAATTTCTCCAGCGGTGAGTATCTGATAAATATGAGGTGACATGAGTCCCTTCTGGTGACGTTCCGAAGCAGTTCGCATCACTTCTGGAACGGTGCTTGGGATACTGGTGATCTTTTCTGACTGTCTGCTCGAATCAGCTGTCGCATGAGATGGAGAAGTCGCAGATGAGCTGCTGCTCGAACTCGAAGAGCTTATTAAAAGATTGTGAGTACCATTGATCGCATGACCATTGTCTGTAATAATGTACCCATGGCATGTTCAAATTAATTAAGCATTAGTAAATTATAGACAACAGGATTTGGGAACTCACTTTGCTCCTCCTCCGTTCGAGCACTATCAGCATCCCCATGACCTTGAATGCCTGGAGGTTCTATCACAATTTGTGGTGCAGTTTTTGCATTTGCTGTTGCTTGTTTGTAGGCATTCAAACTTTCACGCTCGCTCTCTATTGTCTCAGAAGCAAAACGGGATGTCTCCAAATTCGCGTCGCCCTCGGATGTAGTTGGGGCATCTGTCGAATTGACTTCAGTTTGCGAGCTTTGCTTCGAATCTATTTTGTGAGCTGGAACAATTATTACTCGTCATAAAGAATAGCACACGTATTATGAATTATTTTTATGTTTTAACTTGTTGAGGCACACCTTTTGTAGGTTTCACTGGTTTGTAATGTAAGAATCCTTCCTTGGTTCCATTTATATAATATTGGACCGACTGTCTCAATTTGCTACATCTTGGGTCTGAAAGTGAGCCGAAAACTTTTGGTGCTACGACATCCAATTCGACCGATGGTAGTTCTTTAACAAAATTTGCTATTGCCTTAATCATCTGTTCGACTGTCATTTTACTTGAGTTGGTATTAATGTTTAGCTTTTTGTAAAAGTCAACCAAGTCCTGCTCAGTCAGTAGATAATTGCCAAGTAACGCTGCGAGTATGCAGAGCCTGTCAGACGAAAGATTTAGAGCCTTCATAATCTCAGAAATAATGTACTCCTTCGTGTCTAATGAGCCCTTGAAAAGGAAACAAACATTTAAGTTGTGATTTATAAAAGCAGGAGCAAGGAAAACAATGTTGCACAGGTTGCCATTGATACCTTATATGTAAGCTTCAGTTGCTCGGATGAAAAGTATCTTGGAGGGTCGAACGCAGCATATTCAGCATCATCGGCAATCAATCCATTAAAATTATTTTCACGGCAGTAGGCAATGACTTCTTGATGATGATCATCCATGCTACATAACTGTTAAAATAACAATTATTAAAATCGATAAATGGCTTCTAAAGCATTTCAATTATTTCAGAATATACTTTCTGTATAATATTAATATGAATTCAGTGAAATATGGTAACGTATAATTAAACATAGTATCTCACCACTGCTACATTTAGATGTCTAAGAGCCATGCGCAAACTAGTGCGCAAACATACAGGTGGAGTCCACCAAATCTTTGGTGGCGGTGTGCCTTTGGTAGTTATGTGTTTTAAAACCTACAATGAAAAATTATATGTAAATAGTAACGTGGAGTTCACCTTCATCTCAAGCAGATTGAACACCACCCAACTTACATTATTCACTTTTGTTCTAATTTTCAACTGATTCTGAATCCAGTCTGCACGACGAGGAGCTTCAAGAGAACCATTGAAAAACACAGCCAACTCCAAATCAGACATTTCCATTGCCTGGGTAAGAACCGCAAGGAACTGCACCATGCGGTTCCATTGGCCGCCACAGGCCCAGTCTATGGAATTTCAGGTAAATGTCATTTTGTCCATTTTTACTCTTAAACTATTAACTGACAATTTCCTATATGACGATATTAAATCACATTTTTAAACTCACCTGAAAAATAACCGCCATACAATCTGTCGAGGCAGCATTCTCCATCCAGAACAAGTCTAAGTTTACCTGAAATGTGCTGTTGACCTTTGACTATGCGATTGCGTTGTCTCTGAGTAATATTGCGAGCAAGCTTCAACAGATCTATTGGTATGGAACCACCTGGCACACAGTTGCTATCCAAAAAGGTTTGCAAATCTTGAATGCCCATTTTTGCTCGAGACTCTTCCTTGCAGAATTTGTGCACAAGGTTATTTTTCCTTTGACAGTTTATTCTAATATTACGATTTTTTTAGATCAGTTTTACTAGCGAATCATACAGTACATTAGCTATTTAAATTTCGCTGTTTTTAAGAGATAAGGGCACCCAGCTCCAATTTCTGATGGCGAAATCTAGAAACAGGAAAAGCAAGTGTTACCTACAAACCGACAAACTATTCAAACCACATTAATCACAATTCTTTCTCACTATGTTCACTCACATCGAAACGGTAATACATTCTCACATTACAAAGTAGATGTCTAGTATCATACAGCACAAAGTAAATACATGAACCTAACCTGCAAAAATCCTTATTTTTAAATTCCCACCTGTTCAATGAGAATCGAAAAACTATATCCTAACTTTCTCGAGGCTTCTGGTATTTAGAATGGTCAACGAAACTATCTACCTTTTCCCTTCTCAAGAAACTAGCAGTACACACAATTAAATCTAGTTTACACTTCCGCCCTAACCCTAACAAAATTGTTCACCGTAAGAAATTTCTAAGAAACGATTACTCCGAAACTTAGAGTTCAGATAAGAAAAGCATAAATCCTCCCACAAATCTCTGACAGTGAACGATAAAGTTAGAGTTAAGTCAGCATCGGGAAACATAACCAGGCTTTCAACTCGTTACCCCCAAGTGTGGAAAGCACAGTTAACCCGAACAAACCTATTCCATTCCAGGGCTGAAATTTTCAGAGCACTGTTCTCTCCCGCCGATTTATTGCGGTTACATTAATTTCCAGCTGACAGTTGAAACAAATAATACCTCGTCGAGCCCTCGAGCCACGAGTCGGTACGTACGAATACCATAATTCGTTTCGCGAGAGCTCTCGCGAAGGTGTGAAATTGTCAAGTTGCGGTGCGAAGTGGCCGGTCGCCATTTATTGTTTACGCGGGTGCAACGAGTCGAGTCGCGCCGACCGTGAGGCTGCACCGGTCGCTCTCGGCCAGAGAAGTCCTTGTCGATTGACTAAGTGAAAAAGGCCGAAGAATAACGGCGAATGACACCTAACGACATGCCAACGAGGGCCATCGCGACCGACCAGCCGGGAAGGCTCGTACGCGCGGCCGGCATGGCGAAGTCGTGCCTCCGCGGCGCGGCTTACGCAAGGAATTTGCACGGCCTGTGACCATGTTCCACTTCGAGCGAGACCGCCAAATTCATCACGCCGAGCCGCGCCAAGCGTTCGAGGACCCGATGGAGTACTCACATTAGGGTGGCGAGAATCATTGTGGCTCCAAAGAAACACAAAACACACGGACTTTGAGTGCGGGTGACGTCGGGTTCGAAAACGGAAATGGGCTCGACCGCAGTCGACGCTGTCGACCGCGCTCGTCACCGGACCGTCGCGGCTCCAACGGAATGCGGCCCTCCCATTGGTCCGCCGCTAGCGGAAGCGACCGACGCGGAACGCCTGCGCAGCGCGCCTAGTTTTGTTTTCAAACGCGAAATGTAACCGACCATTGTTGGCGAAGAAAAAAATGCGCCGTGTGGATATTTTCAGATTTTAAATCGAAACCGTCTCTTTGCCTACCGGGTTGAAGGTAAGTTTGGGAAATGAGATTTATTGTAGAGGTTGTTAAAAATGGAAGGAATTATGTGAAGACTGTTGGGGAACACCGAGTCCCTCTGAGGATATCATGGATTTTGGCTCTGATTTTTAGTATAAATCTTGAACGTAACTTTTGATTTAATCTAACTAAGCAAGGTTCTGGTGTGCTACGCCGGTGCTCTATCTTTGGAGAAAATTAAGGAAATTCAAGGAACATAGCGGTTAAGATTTCCATTTCTTTAATTTTACTGGATGCATCACATATATTGTACAATTGTCTTGATTTGTTGTCCGTGATAAATTCACAGTATACGTATAAGTGCTTGATGTAGGAAGATGATTTGGAATGACCAAACCATAGATTTTCATATTAAATCACTTTTAATCTTGCGTACACATACATTCGCACATTTCGCAACCACGCAAGTGCCATACAAACGATTCAAGTGAACTGTATTTGAAAACTAACGCAAGTGGAAGAACGTAATAAATAAATGCAAAGATCAGCAAACAGGTAGTTTAATCCTGTCGAAAGATGTAAATTGATTTAAGGTTCTTCCACGTGTTACATACATTCGTTGCATCTACGCAATCAAACGTGAGCTGCTTATATCAAACGTAACGCTTTGTTTCCTAATAGTACAAAAATGATTCCACAATTATAAATATAAATCTATTCGTCAAACGCGAATAATGATTCTTACGAGATACTCGTATGATACGTAGAAAATCTAAACTGACTGAGAAGTGACACCGAAAAGTGTCTTGACTCATTTTCTCGATACTCACTATTGCATAGCACATTATGCAGAGGAATCTTTCGTTATGTGCTCAGGCTTTGTCTTTAGAGCTCGTCGTGCTCCTCCTCCTTCTCCTCGTCAGTTTTAGGCTTTTCTTCAGTCTCCGATGTAGAATCCCCATCCAAGAAATCATCGTCTTCCTCCGGAGTTTCTTCCAATGAGATGCCTAAAGTCTTCTTCATGAGTCTTTCGACGCTCTCTGCGAAACTGGCAGTATCTCGAAGCATATATCCAGATCTCAGCGTAGCTGTTCTAAACATCATTACAGCGATATCCTTGGCAGTTTCATCATTAGAATCGTGATCTACTCTAAGCAGCAGTTCTTTGATAAGAGGATGTCTTGGATTAATTTCTAACGTCTTCTTCTGGTTCAGATAATACGTCTTCTCTGGATCGTTGCTTTTCTGGTGAGCATTCGACATCGCCAGCCTTTCCATGTTTCCAGTCCAGCCAAACATACTGGCTACGAGAGCACATGGAGAATCCGTCAACCTCTCGGAGATTTGAACTTTGCTGATATGATCCTTAAGAAGCTCGTCTAACCACTTCGTCAATGGCTCAAAGCTGTGTTTCAATTCTTCCATGCGTTCCTTAGTTTTCTCATTCTCCTCTAGCGAGAATCCCTCCTTGGCGACATTTTGGAACTTCTTGCCTTCAAACTCAGGGAGCGAAGAAATGGCATACTCGTCCACTGCTTCGACTAAATAGAAGACTTCGTATCCCTTCTTCACTAAACGCTCCACAAATGGAGACTTTTTCGCTTCCTCTACCGAAGAACCACCGATGTAATAAATGAATTTCTGGTTTGACTTCATCCGAGAGACGTAATCACTCAATGAAGTAAGACCTTCCTGCTTTGAAGAGTGGAATCGTAAGAGCTTTGAAAGCCTTGCACGATTCTGAGGATCTTCTATCACTCCTAATTTTATGTAAGTACTGTATTCCTTCCAGAAGTGATCGTAATCTTTGTCGGCTATCTTCTTGATCATATCCAACACTTTACGTACAAGTTTCTTCTTGATGATTTTAATTAGCTTGTGTTGCTGGAGGTTTTCACGTGAAACATTCAAAGGTAGATCATCGCTGTCTACGATACCACGAATAAACGCCAGGTAGTTTGGCATCAAATCTTGGAAGCTGTCTGTTATAAATACCCTTCTGACGTAGAGTTTGATGTTGTCAACCTTTGTACCGTAACGATTGATGCTTTCGCTGGGCTGAACTTTTGGAATGAACAACAGAGACTTGAAACTCACTTCACCTTCGGCAACGAAATGAATTTTTGCTAAAGGCTCTTGATGGTCCTTTGTCAATGCTTTGTAGAAATCATTATATTCCTCATCTGATATTTCAGATGGCTTCAGCGTCCAGATTGGTTTTGCATCGTTAAGCAATTCCCAGTCCCATATCGTTTTGTCAACCATCTTCTTCTCCTTCTTCTTCTCGTCTTCTGCATCTTCGACTTTCACGACTTCCTCCTCCTCCTCCTCTTTTACTTCCTCGTCTGTTTTGTCGACCTCTTTCTCTTCCTCTTGGTCTTTCGAAGATTTATCCTCTTCTACTTCTTCCTCTTCGACTTGTACAGTTTTGCTATTCCATAAGTAAATGGGGAAGTTAATGAACTGCGAGTACTTCTTGATTAAGTTCTTGATCGTATCTTGCTCCAAGAAGTCCTCGGCTTTCTTCTTTAAGTATAAGCTGAAATGATTAAGCTCGTTAGGAGAATTGTAAAGAATGAATAGAATATTCACATTAATGTAACTTTGATGGAACATTAATTTAAAAAATTGAAACATTTTTATGAAAAGGAATGGAATATGTTACCTAACGGTCGTTCCTCGTTTCAAGGTATTTCCTCGTGGGTCTTCGACAATGCTGTAGCTACTACTGTCGGACTCCCAGATATATTGTTTGTCATCATTGTGCTTCGTTGTAACGACAACTTTGTGCGCAACCAAGAATGCAGAATAAAATCCAACACCAAATTGACCAATCATGTCGTTCAAATCGTCTGAACTCTTAGCATCTTGCATCTTTGATAAAAAGTCTGCTGTCCCGGATTTAGCTATCGTGCCTAAATTGTTCATCAGATCTTGTTTCGTCATACCAATCCCAGTATCCGTAATACTCAAGATCTTGTTTTCTGCATCAGCTCTTATTCTAATTGATAACTCAGGATTTGAATCCAGCACCGACTTGTCAGTGAGCGACAACAGTCTGATCTTATCGAGAGCATCAGAGGCATTAGAAATTAATTCTCTGAGGAAGATCTCCTTATTCCGATACAGCGAATTAATGATGAGTTTCATCATTCGGTTAACCTCAGTCTGGAACTCAAACTTCTCCGCCCTCTCCCGAAGTTCCTTCACTTGAGCAACGTTCAAGCCATCTATCTTTATCGCCTCCTCTTCTCTCTGAACAACTTCATCATCTAAATAACGGGAATTGATTTTAATCGTCATCGTAATAATGAAACCGATACATAACAAAAATCATATGGGAGAGGAAACGTAACACTTGTCGCAGCCAAATTTACCTGTACGACTCGCTTCTCTACTAGCACCTAGATCCTGCTCCACGGTACCCACTTCATCATCGATAGCATCCTCTGCCCGGACAGTTCCTAAAATAATTCGAGATAAATAAAATACATGCACGTCCATGAAGGTAAATGTTCCTTTTTTATCTAATTCTGAAAGTACAACCTAGTGAAAATACTTACCGGTTAGAAGGAGCACTCCCACAAGAAGAAATATTAAATTTCTCATCGTTGGGCTGTACCTCCAAACCCTTATTGCAAGCTTGTGAGAGAAAAGCTGCTTCTTCGCCTGAGACCGCTGTTCCAACCTCCCCGTTGTTTTTTACAGACTGTCACCGGATTCCGAGAGCAGATGAAATTTACTGGAGAACTGGCAGAAACGGAAACCAATCGCGGTCGACCACGCAGTCCAAGAGAGCCAATGCCACCTTGACGAGTGATAATACCGTCCAAATGTAAAGTCCTCATTGGCCGAAAAGGCCGCTTGCATCCCACTGCTCTCTATCCGCCGTTCTAGAACGTTCCAATTCGTAAGCCAGCTTCTGCTTTATAAAAGAATTAGAAGGTAACGGAATATCTGTCGGTAAAACAACGCACGGAAGGTAAGGCCAGAATCCCAGTAGCGCGTCGAGTGTCACACAGAGCGGCGCGTCGCCGCGTCCCGGCAGTTCTCATCGGTCATCTTTAACGCGTCGACTCGCCGCGCTCAGAGTGACCCCTGACGCGCTCAGTGAAACTTCCGATTATCCTTACGCTCTGCAAAATTTACCACTTTGCAGCAACTTACCGATTGTTCATGTACCGATTATTAACTAACTTATCAATAGTCCGGGAATTTTAAATCCAGTTTCGATTTTATTTGATATTAGGTGTATTTAAAATGGGAATTGGGTTGTCGAGGTCTTTATGGTTTAACTGTTTATTGAATTTGTCGATGGTATAGTGATGACCGCATGCACGATATGTAACGTAATGACATAATTGCAGGAGATCGAAAGGGACCATTTATTGGAAGAAACAATGGCAGGATACGAGGTCGGTTTCCTCGACAATTTGATGGGTCATTTAATCGCAGGGTGATAAATCGTAATACAGTGCCCTTGGAGGGTAGAAGCCAAAAATGTCCACACATTCTCAATATCGTATCGTCATTTGTTCTTGCGGTATTTAATAGTCCTGCAAAAAAAATCGGACGATCCATACAATTTCGAGGAAAAATAATCAAATGTGAAATGCTTATCTCTGATAATATCTAAGAGCTTCCGAAATGTTCACGATGGACGGGAATTGATCTTCCACTCTCTTTGTTCTAGATGGCGTCGATTATTGTTAAATTATTTATAGGACAGTGAGGGCAATTATTGCACCACTTACGCATTGTTGTAACGCGCATGTTGTGACATGTCGGTTGTTATGGAGACGACACGCGGTGACGCTTTATGGAGCACCGAGAGTACACACCTTCCTTCTCACCTGTGTGACATATGAGTACGTGCATCTACACGTGCATAAGCTAGCTATAGAATGTGGCGATCCGTGTCCAAGAACTCGCGTATTGTCACTTGGCTTCCGGTCTTCTTCGAGGGCAATCCTTTTTTTCCCAGCGAGTTCATTCGGCACTCGGCTTCGCGACTCGCGAGTTCGATTTTTGATCGATCGGCTCTCGTCACTTTGGAATTTTTGAAGAAGCCGCCTTAAACGTGGGAACTGCACGGTGAGCGAACTAAATTGCGATTCGATCGCCCTTTCAAACATCCATGAAAAATATTAAACGTGGCTTTTTAAGTACTCCAAAAAAATTACGCTTAAGGTGATGTGAGTAGGGTCGAAGGTCTCATTTAGGAAATTTTTCTCCGGGTGTACCGAACGTTTCAAAGTTTACAATGTGGAGGCTATAAGGAAGGTCCCGACAGCCATAAAATTTCAATTTTTTTTTTAATTTGTTTATAGACATTTTTAAAATGTTCCATAAAATGTGACATTTTATGGGTGGCGGGACTTTCCTTGCGGCCTCCATATTCACGTTGTGAAATTTGAAACGATTAGGTATATCCAGCTCGGAGAAATTTTTTTATATATGATTGATACCTTGGATTATACACATCCCCTTAACTTGACCATTTTAAATGTCTCCGGTGTCAGGAAACTCAGTAGAGTTTTTCGCCAAATCACTAATCATATGTTACCTATGTGTACGCGAACGACACCGAGGGTCTTAACAGATATTTCGGCATCGACTTTTGTTATCAAGAAAGAATGTGTACTTTAAAAAATGGAGCAAACGCCGATTGCCTTTAGCGTTTAGATCTGAAAGATCCTTTGAACTTATATTTAGAGTCTAGTCTGTAATTCTGAATCAAATCGATCGATGCTAATCTCTGGTTGGCTCTGTTTTTTTATTTATGCATCGCTTTTCTCGTGCGATCGTCGTCCCTCGAGGTGGGTATAAATCGAAATGCTTCGTATTGACTTTTCACAACTCGCACTCATATTTAGAATTGTCTGCAATTGTTGGCTAAAAAAAATACACCGAAGAGTTTGCACTAGAGTTGCTTACTTTCGTTCTTATGCAATGCATTTACTATTCGTAATTGGTTTCGATCCCCCATGCAATGTTCTCGACGTAACTGTGCGTTGGGAAATGAAAGTAGCTCGTTACATTACAACGTTACGTGCTTGCGATGAATTAATCATTGTAATCACTGAGACAAAAGGATTCATCGAACCAAAGAAAAAATTTGTTAATTCAGAGAGTCTTGTGTTAGCAAGAATTAACAAAATGATTTCCTTCGAATTATTCAAAGAAATATTTCTCAGGTTCAATGAAATGTTATTCTCGGTGTACTTAATCTTATCTCTCATGACGTCAATGTTCAGCAGAATTGTCGAATTATTTACAAGTGTTAACGCGATATTACGGGCATAATTATAATAAGAACTCTATTATTCTGCGACCCAGTAAGGTTTATGGTGATACCGACTCATCACCTACCTACGAGCAGTGTAATGCGTGTAATTGAGGGCGTGTCCGGTAATCGTGACGATGAATAACTAGCAACCCGCTCTCATTTTCGCGCACCTCACTTCGGCCACATAAATCGAAGAATTCTTCCTTGAATAATTTACAGGAAAGAGAAATTTCTTTCGGATCAATTAATCCCGAGGCACTGATTCGTTTTATCGCACCCTTATTGTCTCTTCCGCAATGCAGCAAGTTAATCTTCCATTATTCTAGAAGTGGGTTTCCAGTCCTTAATTTCTTGTCCCACGACTCCGAACTTTCACCGCCAACTTGCGACACCGAATGACAACGAACTGTAAAGTCAATTAAAAAGATTAGATGCTTTACGTAAATATTGTACGTACCGATGGATTGTTAAACATCAGGGCGAGCTGTAGACGGAAAATAATTAAATATCATATAAGCGATTACGCTTACGCAGTGAAAATGTGCACACAGGATTCGTTTGCCCCCGAAGGAAATATCGGTCACTGGCATAGGGGAAGTAAATTAAACACGTCGAGGGGACTCAATGTCGAATAATGAATGGACTCGTTTTGGGGTCGACGACATTAGTTATGGAAGGATAACTTCGCACGATGTTAAAACTCTCTCCATGGCTCTTTATGGAAAATTCATCAATTTGCACGGTTTCAAATTGAGATCATCCGGAGAAGAAAAATATTTTAAATGAAATTTCACTTTCTTAGGGTCTACACGTTCACGGGATAAAATCTGAAATGATTCGGTACCTCAATTAAGAAAAAAAGTTTCATATAAACGAGACCTCTTTGACGTCTCTCACATTAAGAAAAATCCCCTTGACGTTTAGAAATAATGATTAAAGTCCTACGTGCATTTTCCCAACTCAAGGTGTTCCTTATCTTGATTTTTATTTGTCGGACTGTGCACTCCTTAGATAAGATGTTGTCCGTGATTCATCCGTCTCGCTCACCTTAGTCCTTCTCCCTCTTCTCAGACGGCGTTCTCTCTCACTTACGCAATTCGGTCTGTATAAGTCTGAGAGAGTGTCGCACCTGAGTCATCGCGAGGTCACGTGACTAATAATGAGGACTTTCCAGGGATGTTGAACAGACCGCAGAGTGCCACTACCAGACAGGAGGCTGAGATGATCAATAAGGCCCAACGGGCCCTCCACGCAACAACGGACTCCATAGAAAAACTTCGTCTTCTCTGCCTGGCCCGAGGTGCCCATGGCATCTTAGGGCTCGGCAGGTAAGTCTCAACTTCATTTAAATCCTCGACAAGGTATGACCTTCCTCATATATACACCTAAGATTACATAAAGTTCCATTTTGCAGAGTATTTCGTCGCGTGGACGCTGACGGAAACAAGCAGTTGAATCTGGAAGAATTTACTGATTGCCTGCGAGAAACGGGATTGGACATTTCCGATGACGAGATTAATGAGATATTTAAGAAGTTGGACACCGACGAGAGTGGCGGGATCAGTATCGATGAATTCATCGCCATTATTCGGGTAAGATGGGGCAAGTAATTCGGATTTTTGGAAGGTAAGAGTGTCCTTCCATTTTTCTAGGCTTGGGGAGCAAGCAAAATTAAATCATTCTCGGTGATGGGTACTTGATCTTGAGGGGTTGTATAGGGATTTATTGTAAAGAATTGTATTCTTTATATTAAAAAAATTAGAATAGGGTGTGTTATTCTAGAATGTAGTTTCAATGTTGAATTCTAACAGTAATGGAGTCCTCTCCTTCGGAAACCTGTAGTTGCGGTTCTCGGTTTTTTTTTTATTAATACATTCGTGACTATCGTACGAGAAATCCATTCTCCAGGGTCGCGTTACTACTACGAATGTAAAATATCATCGCTTTCGGCGAAGTGAGCGATTATCACGATCTCGTTTCAAAGGAAGCTCCGAAACGCTACCGCTGCAACAAGAGATAGCTCTTGTCGTTTTAATTGTTTAGCCAGTGATATTACTCCCATTACATTCCTTTCTCTTGATATCTCCTCCTTGAATTAAAAGGTATGTACATTCGTGCCTTCCATAATTCGTGGTAAACAAAAATTGAAGCGTTAAGTATACTCTAATTATCCTTCCCTGAAAATAAAATCTTAATAATTTCTACAGATTTATGTATTCATTTAATCGCTAGAAAAAAATGCAACTAGGGATTAGGCAAGAAATTATATTCAGGTTTATTTAACGATAATCTTGATATTATTTTTTCCTCGTGAAGCCACCAATGTCGGAGAGCCGAAAAAAGGTTGTGGAGCAGGCTTTTCAAAAACTGGACAAGACCGGTGATGGACAAATCACCGTCGACGATCTACGTGGAGTTTACAACGTGAAATGTCATCCTCGATACATCAGCGGCGAAGAGAGCGAGGAGAGCATTTTAAATAAGTTCCTCGGGAACTTCGAGCAGGGTACCAAGGACGGGATCGTAAGTCTTGACAAAATCGTTACTCCCTTCCGGGTATATATATTTTTTTTTTCTTTCCAATTTTAGCGTGTAATTTTCAAATTACTTCTAGGTGACGGCCGAGGAGTTCATGAATTACTACAGCGCTATAAGTGCCAGCATCGATCACGACGCATACTTCGACCTTATGATGCGCAACGCGTACAAATTGTAAATCGATCGAGTTTCCTGCATCCTTCAACATCACGAAAAAAAAAAAAAGAGTTCCTTTCAGCTTGGCAACGGTGAATTATTTCTTTCCTCGCGACATTAATGCAAGAATTCTTATTAGTGCATTCCCGTAAGTGCCTTATTGCTGGCTTACCGAGTCATTTGTTTAGCAGCAATCCTCTCACGAATTTTCTAGTGCTACATTATTTAACGACTAAGCGCATATTTCGCTCTCCACTATATTTAGTTTAACAGTTTTTAATGTTATACCGATTTTGTCGTCCGAACGAGTGTTCGCGACAGTCGCATGGTTGATCAGGGTCCAATAAGTCAATATTACGGAATGTAATAATACATTTGTACTATTTGTTATGTTAACAGGCATATCGAATGTACCGTATTACTAAATGCTTCTATCTCTTAGGTTGCTGTTCGGATTAATAGCTACGATAAATAAAAATATATATTAAATGTATAATATATTACAGGAACGCTGGTATCTGTTTTATTCGACGAAGTTTATCGCAACTTTGATAGGCGACAAAACGGAAGAACACTGCCTTGGCTGAGTTTAAAAAATATCGCATTCAGATAACAAGTTTCAGACATGGTAACAAAAGACGACCCTTGAACCATAGACGAAACATTTTAAATATAAACAATAAACGTGACTAAGGACCTACAACGACGTTCTTGATGAAGGGTCCCCCTAACACTCGATGACGTTTATAAATTATTAAACACATCGTATCGACCCTTATTGGAGTTTCAGGAAGACGAGAATTGGACTTCGAATGGAACGAATAATTTCACGACTCCGAAAGTCAATTAATCCATAAGGCGTTCCTCCACAAGTTACATATATTATTGAGGAAAAAGTTGTTAGGGTGTACTTCGAGTGACTTTTAACGAGACTTTTTAATTACACGTATAGTACTCGTCAATGGAATAGGTGCGAAACTTTCGAAATATTCTCTACTCGTTAAAATAATGAATATTGTTTATAAAAATGAAGGTGCATTCCTTTTCCCTCTGGACCACGTCACCCCATACAGCTCTTGAGAAGATGTAAACAACGCGAGGGCGAGGATGACCCAGCCCTTAAGAGGCGATGGAGGATCGAAGGGACAAGGAATCGGGGCATTCGGAAAACGGAGCTCTTGGAGACTCGTCGCATCCAACGCTGATCCCTTCGCTAAGTATCCATATATTTTGTTATAATAAAGTTTTAATTTTGCCGGTATCAATACTCAAGGGACTCTTCATTAAGGGTTTCCCTACAAAAATTTGAAATTTATAGTATTACCTAACTTATAGAGCATTGGATAAAAAATTGTAAGTGTAAAAAATATATTGCAGGAGAAAAAAAAATTCTCCCCGGCGGGGAATCGAACCCCGGTCTCCCGCGTGACAGGCGGGGATACTGACCACTATACTACCGAGGAGGGAGATAACTATTTCTCGAATTGTTACGTATTTAAACGTCAACACACCTAATTTCTTATCTAAACAGTGATAATGTACTCCCCTTAATATTATCTTTAAGATTGCCACGATACTTCTAAGTCTATTTACATAATAGATTTACTGCAGGGCCATAACCTCTCTAAGTATATCTTTCTCTCCTTTACACCGGCTAGTTTACACGCGAAGCGCTAATCTGCCTTATCCCTTCAAAGGTTTGAATTACCGACCATCATGCCAGGATTTTACGACCAGCACTTGCTGCGTGTAGTGCGTAATAGCATGATACCTGTGTTTACAGAAAATATATAACCGGTATCACCCTCCGCTTACAAACGACCCGATTATATTCTATTTAAATATCTTTAAGAACCCGAGTTTGCGTATGATCTCTCTTCCTAGGTTGAAAAAACATATCCCTCTTAAAATTCCAAAATTTCAGTATTCTCAATCTTAATTAAAATCGACCGTAAAAGTCCTGATCTTCAAATCGAAAAACGTCTGCTTGAATATTCGGCGCCACTGTAGAGTTCTCCGATCTGTTGCTCTCATTTTCCTGGGTTGCTACATCTCTCTCTCTCACTCCCACACGCGCATATGTCCATCTGTTATTTTTCTTAACCTCTATGTTTATGTATATCTCTGTGTGCATGTTTTATACTGAGGAGTATATTTAGGAAATATCAGGAAATATCGATGATAATGTTAACCGGCCATCCGATAACTTAGAAACGGCTCGATTAAACAATGGCTCTTCTTCGGCAGCGAGGGAGAGAGATAGAGAGACCGATGCCGAATGGGAACCGAGGTTATATAAGGCGGCGTGCCGCGGGTACTACGCAGTCGGTTGTCGTCGATCGGACGGTACGGACGTGGTCGGTAGTCGCGATCAAGCTCAGCGGCGTGGCGCGCTGACGGAGGCGAATAGGGTTAGAAAACTGGTGTGGCTGCTTTCGCGTCGCACGAGGTTTGAATGAAGGTTTATCAAAGGGAGTTGCAGTCATGACTTGCTCATAATTCTCTGTGCCCCCTTCGAGTCGGAGTGTATACCCCACCAGGAAAGACCATTGTTGCGAATCGGCTGACTCGCCGCGTTGTTTTAGGTTAAAATCCACAGTACGCGCTCAAACTGCTTCGTCATGAAGTGCAAAAAAATGGGAGCTTTCTGGCAACTCATCACTCTGCTGCTGATCAGTAAGTTGTATAACATTGATCCGTTAATCGCGCTCAAATTATTCCGTAGAGTAGCTTCTGTACCGAACAATTGTGTAAACATGACCAACACGCGCTAAATAAAGTTTCTCTTAACTTCTGCTTCTATCATTGTTCCGCGGGTTTTATTAGGAGTTAATGTTATCTCAAGTGTAGGAACGGAAAAAGGCTGGAATCTGTTTGATTCGAGCATCGAGTGATAAGCACTCGACCAGCGTCTGGTGCAGTTGAGTCAGATATGAACTTTGCACTGCGTTAGTGAAGCCACAACGAATTTACATCAATAAACCGCGATAAACACCTTGGCCCGTGATTTTACGTGCGAGAATAGAAAGATCGTAAAATCTAACAGAAAAGTACTGTACAAGGCCTACAAGAAATTAATGATGATCATAGATCATTAATGGAGCTCGAAGCTCGTCACTGCACGAAGTTAAATCGCTCTCAAAGCTTGTTGCTATAAAAACTGCCAGGAAATTTGTCATTATCAGGACCAGACAAACCGTTGTTTACCGGAAAAAAAATTACTCGGTTCGATAAAAGTAACTTACGACTTTATAACGAGCCAAGCGCACGCCGCGTGACAAGATGCAAGGCTATCTTGTTCTTTGCTGATGACAAGACGCAAAGAGATAATTTTTGTTTTTTATTGAATATCCGCCAGTTTTCATCAATAAAAACGTGATTCTCTTTGGTAAATCGCACCTGTACGCGTACAATGTATATTTCTGCTGGACTTTTTACTCCGGCTAAAAAAAAAAGAAGAATAGAACTTGTCTGAAAGTCACCTTTGGACCCCTTTGAAATCGGGACCAACGGAAATCGCCATTTTGCGCAGTGGAAGTTGTAACTGGGATACCGGGTCCCTTTATCCCGCATGCATCTTGCACTCACCTTTTCATTGATACATCTGTCCTCTTTTCTTCCCTCCAGTCCCCTCTGTTCCCGGCGTCCCCCCGACGGGTACTTTCAAACGAAGGATTAACTATTCTCCCAGGTCGCTCGAAAGGATTAAATCGTCATCTGCCATTTCGAAAACAAAATAATCAGTATTATTTGTTCGCTCCCTCGTTAGACAGTGTACTCTCGCCTGCTTGAAATCCATTCGTGTAAATTTTAATTCTAAACATTGAAAGTTGGTATAATTAGGCAGTATTTATATATTTTATTAACTGTTATACACTGGCGATTGTAACTGTCTTTTATATTGGGGCACATGAATGCCTTCCTTCATACGTTGGTTCCATTATATCCGTAGAGAATGGCTCTTAGATAGATATCGTCGGGGTACCTGCTAAGTTCTTAAATTCTTTCCGCATTGCGCAACAAAGGCGATCTCGATAAGTATAGTCAACTCGATAACCGAGTCAGCGGCAGCGTGGCTTCTCCCCGTGACTCACTTCTCTGCCTGATTTTGGCGGACTTTCCCACCTCCATTGTCGAGGGCTCTGATTGGCTGTATTTTTTAAAACCCGACCCGCTGATTGGCTGTTCTCTTGAAACGCGGCGCGCTGATTGGCTGTATTTTTTAAACCCGACCCGCTGATTGGCTGTTCTCTTGAAACGCGGCGCGCTGATTGGCTGCTTTTTGAAATCCGACCCGCTGATTGATCAACTGTTCGCTGAGCAAGTGGCTACTCTTTTCATGCCGGCTCACCTTACATTAAACGCATATATGTGTACATATGAACAATGTCTATACAAATACATGAATATAAATATTTGACGTGTCAAGCAGTGAAATGCAAGATATTCTGTTTTCTTCCACTGATGCAGTTGCGACTACATAATTGCGCAATTATTCTCGTGGTCTAATCTTCCGAGTGTCGACTGTATCTCAGTAAAAACATCGGTTGCTGTATCGTGCTTGTTTTTTTTTTTATCGCGGCAAGAACGGTATTATAAAAATCATTAACCTTTGTAGTTTGAACCGGTCGTATCACGTGCGCTTAGTCGTTTTGTCTTTGAGATAACATTTCCTGATACCGTCATTACCCAAAACTACATCGTGTATGTGTGCAATACTCGTTTTAATAGGTGTTAAAAGGCTTGTTATTTCGCTGATGTTTTGTGCATTGTTTTCAGTAATTTTAACCTATTTTAGATTAAAATCATATGTGTATTTACAGGTGTGATTTATTCCTGCGAGGGCTCTCAGGACAGCCAGCCGAGTAATGACGAATTGCTGGAGAAAATCCCTGGACTGGAAAACATTCCTGGACTTAACAGTGTCAATGCTTCTGCGTTGCCGACAGCTGAGGATGCTAAAAACCTGCTGAAAAAGAAGTGCGATAAATACGGGGGACCAAAAGCCTTCGAAAATGCCCTGGCTGGCCAAGAACAGCTACAACATTGCGTCGCAGGCCTCGTTAATGTCACCGTACTACAAAATGAAATGGAAAAAGCCAAACCAGAAGGAGAGTTAGACACAGTGTTTAAGAATTATTGTCGGAAGTCTCCGCTTTTCAAGAACTGCTTAAACAATTTTGCCAATTCGTTGGAACCCTGTTTCACTGAAAAAGAACGCGACAGCAGGAAGATCATTCAAAATGTCACGGACTCGCTCTTGAACTTTATTTGCTTCAAGGAGGGAGATCGTATCGCTCGTAAGCACTTTACTCTGTTTTCTAATAATACATCGTAAGGGATTTAAAAATGTCATTGATGAAATTGTATAATTTGGGAATTATTCTAGTCTTTATCTCTGCCGGTGGACCGGAATGTATCCAGCAGAAACAAGCAGGTATACAAGACTGTATCAATGGCACTTTTGGAAGTTCCATTCCATCCTCCACTCTGAAGAATGGAGTACCGGCTGGAATTGAAAGTCTGCCTACGTTCACATTTGACAGCAAAGACTGCACGTAAGTATACTAATTAAAATTTGAAGACTTTAAACTGTGCCTCATGACTTAAGATCAATTAGAAGTATTCTGTAAGTTGTGATCAATGATGAATTTCTTCTTTGTTTGACAGTGATATCGTCTCGTTGCAAACTTGCGTGGTTAAAGAATTAGAAACGTGTACAGATCCGACGACAGCGAATATCGTTGACTCATTGTTCAACTTCATTAAAAAAGTGACACCATGCGATAACCTGCTTAGTGCGAAAGCAGCAGCAGCTACCGGTGATGATATAGCTGAAAGCTCGGCATCTACCATCAGTACTACTATTACAGTGACACTTCTCACCTTAGTGTCTCTTAAATATCTTTAAAACGATGGAATAAGCGATGTCTCTAATTTAAGAGTTTATATTTTTTAAATGAAAAATCACAGGACAAACTGACAACACAATCGAATCCTCCTGACGATCATCGGTCAGATGATAATATGCAGATTCAGAGAGATCGCTAGATATTTGTTTAAACAATCAACTCAGAGTGAAAGTACCGCCTTTAAAAAAGGATGTTCATTATGATCCTGACAATATAAATATTCATTGTGAGATTGTATTCAAATAAATTGAATGCTTTTATACCAAATAGGTATGATGGAGGGTGGTTATCAAGGAAGTTTAATAGTCATAATCTATAAAAGTCTAATATTGTCCTACTGGAAATGTCAAATTTGTACGTTACGGTAATCGCTACCTGATACTTGATAGATTATAGTGATATGTACAATACATATATCAGTTTGTTTCGTCGGTTTACAAATTACAATCTTGAAAACTATTAACAATTATCTGCTATACGTTTAGAAGGAATCCAACTAGTTTTGTTACATTATGAATCAGGTGCTTGAGCAAGTCTGAAAAAAACATACTAAACAAAAGTATTACCAAAACCCAATACTAAATCTAAATATAAGTAGACCGAAGCACAGCTTCATGTTTAATCTCCCGATTTCTACAGGTTCTTTTCGTTATGCGTTAAACATGAAAAGGTGATTATTAGGACTGATCATGAGGCCTTCTCATTATAAAGATCAACCAGATAGAGGATAAATCATAATATATTTATAATTACGAACTACTGCATAAGAATTATCCAGAAGTGTCGATCGTCGCCTTCTGACAGTCATGAAAAAGTTTGTATTTATTGTTCTGTATTTGTGTATCAAATAATATACATTTTTGTAATTACTGCGATTGGACCTGTATTTCCAGTTATAAAATAGGAACTTTAATTTATCACATTGGTTAGCATATCTATGGATGAATTTTGTAGTTTCGCAGGTTTGAATTTTGCCGCACAGAATGGATCGCTTTCAACCGTCGAGAAGCGGTTTCGCGCGTGCGCATTGAGTCGGCTTCCATCCCCTCCATTCGCAATCGGTAGCCGCGCGAGGGGAAGCGCGGGCTCTGATTGGCTGACGGCCAAGAGCCGGGGGAATGGCGAGCATGCGGATACTCGGCTTCCGGTGAGTTCGTGAAAGATCGGATAAATTCGCCGTTCGCGGAGGCTCGCTCTCGCAGAAGACAGTGCACTTGAGAAAGCCCTTCGCTGGCTGGCTCGACGTGTATGCTTTGAACGCTTCGCACCATGTTAATGAGTTTTTGTCAAATTTTAATAAACCGTTCGTGCAGTGCATTCAGTATACGAAAGATAATAACCAGTGCAAGACATTTACCCTCTTGATCGAGTATCTTCGTTAGTACCACTTGTGCAATAAGGAACGGGAATGAGAATGCCTGGCAAAGGGGGCAGAAGAGGAAGATCCGGTAAGTGGGAATCACTATGTCGCGGACATTATCTACGGTTAAGCCGATTAACTTATAACGGCTTTCTCGCCGCTCGTCGACGGACAGCCACGAATTCGCCCGTTTTTAAACCCGATTTGATTCGACTCAAACGTAACTCAACGATTTCTGACCGGATCGTCCATCGGTTCGTCGCGGTGATTCATCCCGATTGGAAACGTTTTCCGCATGCCTTACGTCATGATTCTGCACTATTTTAAAATGCTGCCCGTTGCCATGCGAGCCCGAAGGGAAGCTCGGGTTTCTCGTTGGGCCTTACAGGGAGGAAAGGTTGGCTGAAATTTAACGCGGGCCCTGTATCGACCCCATGTGGAAGCCATGCTTTTCGCACATGGAAGTTGGGCGCGCTAAAATGGCGCAAATGCGAATATCTACGTCAGGCAAAGCCTTTGTCGTCACGAGATTTTCTGGTAGCTTCGAGAATTCCTATCTTTGGTTACAGTAAAGAGTCCCATTTCGATCTTTACGACCTGGGTCGTTTTTTAAGCAGATTCTTGGAACGTTAGATCAACGTTTTTTTTGGGGTTAGGTTTCGGACTTTGTACTTTACGCGACGCGTTCGTTCTTCCAGTCGACGAGAATGTTCGAAGGAATGTTTAACCTCTTGATTCCAGAATTATTGAACCCCTTTTTCAGGTTATGTTGGATTTTTAATTTTCATGCTTCTTATATATAAAGAGTGGTACGAAAATGGATATTCCAAGGACATGTGAATGCACGTGTAGAGAAATCGCAGCTGTTAGGTTTTATTTATAGTCTCTTTTTAATTCCAGAACATTGAGGCGGATACTGTACATGGTTTTCATTTTTCTGGAGAATTATACACTCTGGTTGTGTTTTATATGCCAAAGATCTTGTTTTCTGTATCGGCTGTATCTCTGTTTAAAGTTTGCATTAAATTGTGTTGTTATACAATGACAATTACTAAACACGCGAAATACTTTCACGGACGTGTATGTCGCAACAGCTGGTTGAGTTTCTCGTTATGCAACCTGACATTCGTTCAGAGCAGCTGCTTTGATCCACTTTCTAAAATCCAAACATTATCTTTCTCCAAATACTATTGATTCTAATTATGTCCCGATGTGTTAGTAATTAATTCATGGAAAGCCTGTAGACGTAGCATTTCTTATCGGACACTTAAAATGTCGGTGATGAAAGGAGAGGGTGGCCTTGAACAATACTGGTCTCGAGCAACTATCACTGGTTACCTGAACCAGTTTGAAGAATTTTTATGCTGCTTGTTAAAACGATTCCCTAGAATTATTACATTTACTTATACTTTCGTCTGAAAGTAAATCGTGGCTTCAGTTTACGTTTATACTAAACTTTGATGTAACTCATAGGTCACAGTGGAAAAAGGGCTGAATTAACATCTGATGAGGATTCCATCAACAATGACGCGTGCAGCGTTACCAGTGGCCAGTCTGATAATCGCAGCGTGTTCGACGATGTGAATGACAATGAGGTGGATGAGATTGCCCAACAAGATGTGTTTGAGGAAAAACTTAAGGAAGCCATAGACGGATTAACTCAGAAGAGTGCTAAAGGCAGAACGATCTGCTTTAATGGGATCGAAAAGATTTTTACCATCAAATACATACCAGAATTCGTTGAAGACAGGAAGATGACCATTACAGACGCGGTAGAGCGAGGATTAAAGAAAGGACGTTGTGAAGAACAGTCAACGGCAGCAAGGCTGGGTACTTTACTTTGTGTTCAATTAGGAGCCTTCGAGAGTGCAGAGGTAGTTTGTAAAGACTTAAGATCTACATTATCATTGATTGCTAATGACAAGACCGCAACAACTGGTGCCAGATCGGAGGTGAGAATAAATATTCATATTCTTTGGTATAAAGTCGTAGCACCGTTATCAGTTATGTAATTACAATCCATGTTTAAATGTAATAAAAATGCTTTTACTTTCAGTGCTGTTGGGCCTTGAGTATGAATCAATTTCTCATTGGGAATGATGCTACCGATACGATTGAAATAGTCCAGATGCTGTCTACTATTTTTGCTGGTTCATATCTGAAAGGCAATGGTGCTGCAGCTACAGTTTCTGCTGATATGGCAGCTCTACATGCCGCTGCACTCTCCTCGTGGACTCTGCTTTTAACTATCATGACACCTGCAGATATTTATAATTTACTCGCCAGCGATCGGACCAATAATTATATGCCGTAAGTAGAATGAATATCAATCGAAGATGTTGTTTAAGCTATTTGTTATAAAAATGAAAGTTCTTATTAGATGTAATTTAAGCCCGTTTTAACATATTGATAAGAAACTTATATCTCATGGACTTCGGACAGCAAACTTGTTCGCTTAAGATAATGCATGTACGAAACATTTAAATGAAGCCTCGTTACGTTAAATAAATTCTCATAATGTGTTAACCATTCTTAGTTCCTTAAATCGACTGCGGGAACTCTTGGAATCACCGCACCTTGAAGTTCGTCTGTCTGCTGGCGAAGCCATTGCTGTAATCTTTGAACTTGGCCGTGATTACTCAGCTGACTATGAGCAAGACTGGGCTCTTGACCTCATTGAAATATTAAAAGATTTGGCTACTGACTCCAACAAGTACAGGGCTAAGAAGGATCGAAAACAGCAACGTGCCAGTTTCCGAGATATCTTACGATACATCGAGGTAAATAATCCTCAACATTAATTTTTCCAGTCTTTAGTATTATAGGATTTAATGTATAACGTAAATAATATCACATTGGTCTATGTCTATTTTTTCCCTCAGGAGGATACGATCCCGGAGATGCATGTTAGATTCGGCCCGGAGACCCTTTACTTGGAAGGATGGTGTGCAAGGACTCAGTACAATGCATGTTGTCGATTACTTGGCCCTGGCATAAATATTCATTTGTCTGAAAATCAGCTGCTGCGTGAAATTTTCAATCTTGGTAACAAGGTTTTACCCCTACAACCCACTCAGAAAACGACCAAATTGGAAAGAGTAAGTAAAGTTGGGTTATGTTGTCTTATATATGCTCACATGTAGCGTGAGTTCGCAGAATGGCTCATAATTTCAGATTTTACTAAGTAAAGTTTTTGAAGTTAGGGCAGAAAACTTTAAGAAACTAATTTGATCAGTAAACGCAGCTTTTAGTGACAACTTATGAACTTCCTTAAAATATTGTACAAATAATAATCCACATTTTTCAGACCTTGATGAACGCAGCTGCATTCAAGGCACGCACCATTCTACGTAACAAAAACCGTGACAAGCGTTCGGCAGCCCTGTTGGTATAATTTTTCGACTTTTTAATTTCTACGGATTAGGTAATTTCCTACTTAGAATTTCACACTGAATAAGTGTAACTATCATGTATTTATTATATCAATCGAATAATGAAAAAAACCAGTTGTATGTTATCGCTTCTATATGCGGTTTCACGGATTTCAGGTTATGTATTTAGATCTACTTGTTGTACGATCTGTACCTTTTAGTAAATTTGGTGCAAGCCTCTGAGTAGTGAATTGAAAGAAGTAATGCACTGTTTAGTTGCTTATTAGAGCGTTCGTAGGATGTATGTACATATAAAAAATGTATATACGAAAATTAATCAATTGTTTCATGGTCTGACACCAGACAGAATTTTTCGGTGATCTGGTCATCAATTTGCTATAGTTGTTGATTCACGCGTTAGAGATGTTCTTAGGATTAACTGTTACTCTAATCGTTACCGTATTTATTGCAAGCTAAAAGACCGGTCCTCATCGATATATATTAAAATATTAGAAAATAAAATTTATACTTGGATTTTAATCGTCCATTCATAGGTCAACCGTAAAGTTACAGATGTTGATCATCGGTGACTCGACATTAGGTTTTTTTTTTTAATGTTGACGAAGTCTCAATACACATCTCTTACAACTGACTGCAACTGACTGATATTACAGGGTCGCTTTAAATAAAGTTTATTTTAACGGGGTTTGTGACATTGACACGAATCGATTTCAGAACCAGTAACTTCAAAGTTTTTGACAGACAGGCGATGACGTTAGAAATCATCGACAGTGTGGCTAAGAATGGACCGTCTTGTATACTCTCTGTTTAAAAATAAATACATTTCTTGGATGCGTTACAATGTACATGGCACTGACTCGTTTTAAAAATGCACCATAATAATGGCACGCAAGATGTAGATCTATTTAATAAGTTAATTAACCTACTTTATTGTACAGTCTTATTACAATTATACAACAATCCATAACAGCGATATACCTTTCTTGTCCTGTCAATCTTAAAATACTGTTATTCAAGATTCGCATTATATAAATACGATTGGCAGGTTTCAGGCACTTATTACTATTAGTACGCGCAACACTGTTACTAAAGGTACTGTATGAAAAGCGTAATAATCAAAATAATCAGACGCACAGTACGAAATCCACGTTCAGCTGCATTCCATCTTATACCTCCTTACAAAAATTGCACATCGAAGGCACATCGGAACCTAATCTATAATTGTCAACTAACCTTTCTTTTTTTTTCTCTTCATATGTTGAACTTACGTAAATTTAAACACTTTCGCGTCAAAGCATTACAAATTAGGTTCTTATAGTAAAGAAAAGATCTTTTACAGGAAATAAGTATAATTTAAAATGGCGAAACTTATAGGAATAAGTATATAAATCAAGCTGCGGTGCCATGTACTGAATAGTGTTTCTAATGCATAAGCGAAAGAGAGAGCGTGGGTTAAATTATAAAATACTTCAGTTACGCATTAAAAATCTTCGTACGAGAGAAACGTTCATACGTGCAAATTAAGCTGCTGGGTTTTAAACTCTTTCTCCGACAGCATGTGCCATCGGTAGCCTAATATTTTTGAAACCTCTCTTTCGGTACTTTCGTAACTACAGCTATTTACTTTGATCCACTGGTAATGCTCTGGCGACCAGTCGGCAACTCTTAGCCAATCTTTGTCGCACCTTTTTAAAATCACGTTCCTCCGCACGTATAAGCAGCGCAAAGACTTCGCGGTAGATACTATTTCTAGGATTGTAGCTGTTGATATTTTGTCACGTATCATCTACACAGGAATGATAAAAGAATTTTACTAAAATGAGAGGAAAGCAAACAGTGTCTTTAGTCACATCAACGTGCAATAAAACTTCCTCGATAACATACTATCAATTCAGTATACAATTCTATTTATTAACCGAACTTAATTGAGACATCACAGACAGTTATCGCAATCTTAGAACTGTGTTAATACTCTCAACGTTCATCAGGAGTATAACAATAAAATTAAAATCAGTCTTAATGCAAGAATACTGATAATATAAAAGCAAAGGCTGCTAATATTTTCATCGTTAATTATTTAGTGTAAAAATTCTATCGTCTTCTGTTTATCTTTTAAATCCATTATTTCTACAAGTGTTTAGTTCTATTCATCCATGCATTGTTCACACGCACGCACGCTGCAGTGGACATGGGAGAATACATTACAGGATACACACAACTCGGTCCTTGTTCCGAAGACAGTTACCAATTAGAGAAAGCATTTTGTTTAAATGCCATGGTAAGCCTTCACAAAAAGTCAAGCCATTACAGTAGGAAGAGTTAGACAAAGTAAGATTTCAGGAACAAGCAAGAAAAAGAGAAACGCCGATATTTAGCAGTTCGAAACACTACCAGAGTGTGGAGACTCGGACAAGTTTTGCATAGCCGTACGAGAGCTTCGTCCAACCGCTTTGCAAAATTCTTTGGTAAGAAATATCTGGTGAGACCTTTCAAAGCGTAGACTTTCAGTGTCGATCCAAAATAAGTTCCATGCGAATCTATGGTCACCGATGTAACCTGCAATATTTGGGATAAATTTCAGAATTTCACTTTTTACGATAACTATTCAGTAGCTACTCTGGAAATTTATTGGAATTACCTGCGTGGTGGGATTATCCAAAACGATGCTTGCACAAGGTATAGAACCATAGTCCATCTCACCGATTGGTAACGTAAAGTCAGTAGGTTTCCGACTCTCTATTTCAAAATGTACCCTTAAGTGAGGATTGCTCATTTTCATCTTCTTCCATGAACTATTCTTTGGCTGGAACAGATTAAGCGATACTTTGTAAAATATTCTCTTGACATGAACCCTTTCAGTGAATAAATAAAAATTCGAAATGTAATCTGAAAAAGATCACTTACCAAAAATACTGTAGTATCTTTAGGACTGTATCGATTTTGAATTATATGTAAGTGTTGCAATGAGGTTGATCCTAATAATTCCACGACATCCTCATCCAGATTTTGTGGACTAATAATTAGGATCTGTAGAAATATAAGGTTCATAGGTCAGTAATTGTTTACAAAAAATAAGAGTGCAATCACGTTGAGAAGGTACTTACTTTTAAATTCAAAAACACACCAACGTGGAGAAGTGGACAGCTGTATCTCGTTGTGTTTATTAGCACTAGTTTTGTTAAAGTTTCTGTGCAGTTAGCGCAAACATCGTCTAATAAATGTAACGCTTCTCTGCTTTCTAACATTAGATCGATTAATTCAAGGCACTTGAGATGTTCAAGATTTCTCATAAGTCTCTTTAAGGCCTCGAGTAACTTTCCTCCGGTACCAAAGACTCTAATTCGATCAGGAGCGTCTCTGTTTTCCATATTACAGGGAAAGGTAAATTTTAATCTGCGGATGTAAGTGCCCACACCAGCGACCGATCTATTATCAGACCCTTGCCTTTCAGTGTACCACGACACCATGTTCATAAATTCATACAAGTTGTAGAAATTTAGCATCGGATCAAAAACAAGACATCTAAAGAACTTCCCAACCTTATTCAGGCAGGCTGAAGTTCTCATGTGGTCTAAAACGTATTGCCATCCACTGTAGTAATTAAATTTACCCCTCGTCAATGTCGTATCCTTGAGGGTGAATGTGGACCACACATTTTGCAATTTAAATGCATGATACCAAGACTGGCAGACAAGCGATGCATAATATCTTTCTTGAATTGTTAAATAAGAAAATATCTGTTCCAGTAGAATATCTGGTAACTGATCCCAGGAACTAAAAATCTTATTTCTCGAGTCCTCCTCGAACTCATCATCGGTATTAACTCGAAAGTCTAAAAAAAAAAAATTTAAGTATTATTATACCTTTCCTTGCCTACAATTATTACTTTCACAAACAGTGTCATTCATCCTTGATGTAATATTGTAACACTTCTGTCTTTTAACGTCACTCCGTATTGGAATTCTGCAATTACTACCAATTACTACGCACGTTTCCAAAAATCCGAATAAAGTTAAACGTCGAGCAACAACTTATTTTCGAAAGAAACACTGCTCGAACTTTCTATATGACGTAAAACAGCGGATTCACGGCAAATGTGGGAGTTTGACATTTGAGCCTAACCTGCAAAAACCCCAAACGTACCTTTGTCATTTTCGTCTTCCTTCCAACAGTCTTCACTCATCTTCGAATTAAAAGTTCGCTGAATTGGACATTCGACCTGTGTTTACCGGAGTTCACGAATCGATATGTAATATATCTAAAAATATACCAAAGTGGAAAGTAACGCACACATTATACCGAGTTATACATCTTATCATCTTCGCGAGGTTAGTCAATCATGACGTCACTGATTTCGATTCGACACAGGTAGATCGATACATCGAACAGAGTTCAGACCATCGATTTTCACCGTCAGGATTTTTGCTCGAAGATAAATTGAGATAAATTGGTTAGGTTAGATTATCTGACTTCTATTTTTAAATTTTTAAATATATTCGGCTAGCGCTAGAATGCCTTTAATTAAATAACTGGGCGCTCAGTTTAATTCTACAAAAAGGCGTTGACATAGTTTTCGAATAATGTTACACATTATTTACTAGTTCCTATTAGCGGCACCAAATGATCGAAGCTTCTTCATTATTATTCATTATTGATCACATTTATCGACATTGCCATGATAGATCAGTTCCATTGAGTAGTTTAAATTAGCATAAAAATGTCACTGTACTATTCTGAGGCAGACTTGAAGGAATAATTATACATTTAAAAAGTGAAGCAATTTCTGAATCTAAGGAAATAATTAGATCTTGGTAACCAATGACAAAAATTTTATTTGCCTACTAATCTCTAAGGGTACGCTGTCCTCAACTGTGAGTGACACATCCTTTTCCTATGTTTAGTCGAACTTGTTTCAGAGGTGTGTATAAAATGAAAAACACGAGTTACACTTATTCTTATTGCCCGCTGGTGAAAATTCAATGGAAGAGAAAATTGGAACTGATAATCATCAAATTGAAGAAATCACTATTTGCAACTTATTTCATTGACTACTATATACTGTTTTGTGCATGATTCCCGATACCACTTATATGATACTTTGCTTTTGTCTTCCATTTTATTTCTCAGCGAAGTTTAAATTTATTTCTCTACCTGCTGCAAATGTCAAGGAATTCATTGACTAGATTTCTATTCAAATTCAATCGCCATGAACAATTTACCAGCGGCGATTTAGTAGTGGCATTTTTTCGTCCGTGTTAAACATGTACACGAAAACCACATTTCTCAAACGATAGTATTGTTTATGGGACAACTGCGGTCCAGAATGGACATCCCAATCGCAAGACGTATCTTTGAGAATAACGCAATGCCATTAGTTCCTAACAACGCGCATAACAGTCACCTGGATTGATCATTTACGCAATCTTTGCATTCAATGCACATTTTATCTTCACCAGTTAACCGATGCCACTCGTTAATCTCACTTTTCTTTATTCAGTGCTTGGATGAATTCTTCTAGCTTCTCCTGAATCTGCCTAACGCGTTCTGAAACGAAATAGTACATCATGTATAGAAGAAAAATGCATTTAATTATCACGTTAAACACTACATAATCTATAAAAACTTACTCAGTTCTTCTGCTAGCATAACTCGTCTGCCCGTCAGTAATTTTTCTTTAATTTTACTATCTTGGCTGTAATCATCCAAGACCTCCTTGATTTCCTTATCGAACCTACGAGCTTCGCGATTCATGATCTGCTGCCTTAACGCATTTGCAGTTACTTTTAACATCTGCTGAATCCTCCAGAACAGCACAACGTCGTTACAATCTATCTGTTGAGAAGTAAAAGAAAATTCATTGTGTTGCTTCAAAGGATAATTTGCAATCGACTGAAAATTAATTCATACCTCTTTATCGTGTCCTGTATGATAAAGGAAATAACATTTTTTGCAGTCATATGCCCGTGCTAAACTTTGCTGAAGGAAAAATCTCCTGTAAATTGGGTGCCAGATTTCTTGAATTTCCTCGGTATCAATTTCTAAGCCATTTCGTTGCAAGTTTTTCCGTATCGTTGTCAGTTCATCCTGCGATAGAGTAGGTGAGTGTTTCTGAAAGTAGATAAATGATGTCATGACCGCAATTCTTGTACATAACCTAATGTCAAATTTATCAAAGATGTCAATACTTTGTCAACGTAGAGAATTTTATCTAACTCATTTTTAATTGTTCCATGCTTTCTCTGCTCTTCGCTTTGGCTTTGCCAGTAGAGCCAACGTCCCATGAAACCAGGTCCCAGCATATCGTTTAAAACGTTTTCAGTTGCTTGTAACTTCTCCTTCACCGAAGTCTCCAAGAACCGTATCGCTTGATCCCAGTCCCTCTTATCGCTGATAGTTCGATCTTCCAAGGTATTAAGTTGAATCACTCTCAACATCTCGGAAGCCTAAAAATAGGCAGCACTTCTTAATTTCTACTCAAATTAATCACAGTTTTGATATCGTTAGATTTCTAACTTTTTCCTCCCATTTATGCCTCCTCATTGCCTCGTTCACTACAGCCTGTTTTATGTTATCGAAGATGTTATCATGATCCGGTCTTTGTTTCTCATTCGTGATGAACTGCAGAAATTCTTTCTGTAAACATTCCCATCCGCATTCAACACTATGTGCTGGTAATTGTTGTTCGGCCCACTTTCTTAATTTTATATCGACAGTCGTGTTATAAGACCCTGGAAGAAAAATGACCATGCCTTAATTAATTGTTTTTTAAATCTAAACAGACTACATTAAATATAAAAAAGGCAGGATTGAAAACCAATATATTATATCCAACCTGGATTTCCAGATTGCGCAGCTGGTAAGTAGATGTTCTCGAAGACATGCATACTGACTTTTTCCCAGATTCGATCCATCAGTACTTCGTCCCAATGCCTCGGTGAGACTTGCGATAAGTTTACCATCTCGTCCAGAATTTCAGAGCGAGCTTTCTCGAATAGTTCATCCCTGTCTAACTCTCGCAGCCTGTATTTGTAAATTTTCAATAAGATATTTGCACTATAGTACTTCTACATTTCATGAATACCTAAAGATTTCTCATTACCTCGGGAAGTTATTTTTCCACTCGGTTTCGAGATTAAATCTAGTGGCCTTAAAAGCATCAGCTTGTTGTTCAACGGTCTCTCTGACCATCTTCCAAAAGCATTCGGCTACAGCTAAGCTGAGATTCCTTGTCGTAACTTGACTTGACGTTACTACGCCATCCCTGTTAAGGTTTTGTTTAATGATCTTGTAGCACTTAACTACACAGACACTACTTACTTGAAAAGTTTCGAATTGCGAAAGAATTTTTCTTCATAATCCTTTATCGTTTGTATACTATCGTCCTGCCTGCCACGACCAGTAACAACAGCAAAATAACCCATTGCTTTCATCGGAAAGAGTTTTCCAGATAATATTTTCCGTACTCGCTCAGGATTCGCCAAATTTTCCTCAGCCAGATCGACCTAATTATTCAAATAAAGAATATGTACATCTAATTAAGTTCCTTCGATCTCACATGCTTACCTTTGTAAGTACGAAAATGGTTCGCTTTCCAGTGGGATCCATTTTTGCAACAATGTCTGTTACGTTACTCCTTTCGGCATCAACAGATCCATCTTGTACACAGAGAATAATTGCATTGGGGTTACTCATGTACTGCTCCGTCATTTCCCGGATCGAATTACGAGTATCCTCCGCCATGTCGACAGTGACTGTCTGTTGCAAGAGCATGTCAATTTTAACAACAAATAAGTTAAGAGAAAAAATAGAAGACTGAAATTTACCAAAATTCAACTTACACTGATAATACCAGGAAGATCGACTAAAATCATACGTTGGAGCCCTGGGCCTTTGACTGTCATTGAAATAACCTCATGGCTCACGGTCTTTCCATCTTTAACACTATTTTTCATGCGCAGTTCGACCTCTCTTCTTAATTCCATTAACTCTGACTCCTTAGTTAAGTCGAATTCCCTCGAGCTGTCTTTAAACTGAGCTATATGATACGGACCTTCGCTAATTGTCACTTTGACAGGAGCCCTTGTCATCATTTCTCCAGCACCTCTGAAAGCATTACATAAAGTTTGACATACAAATTTTCAATGTAACGTGAACACCTTTTTTTCTCATATGTACCTAGGAAATATTCTCGCTTGTGCAATCATTTCAAGAACGGACGTTTTTCCTGAACTTTGGTCCCCGACGACTACCACTCTTGGTAAATGGTCAGCAACGGAGTAAGCACTGTCATAATCGTTCAGCTCATCTAAGACTTCACTGTACATATCGATCAATGATTTCTAAAAAGTTACACAATCATTAATTGAGCTACTCTAAATGGTGATATTTTTATGGTCTGAATATTTTACCTTAATCTTCCGACTAAAATTCTTTTGATTTCCCCGTAGTAAGATTTGTTTGCGTAGCTCTTTATTCTCTCGCTCTAATCTTTCCAATTCTCGCTGATATTTCATTTGCATTTGCATAACTTCATCCTGCATAGCATCTAGTCGTTTCTGAGATGATTCTGCAAATTTGAAACAGTAGAAATTAGTTCGATAGTAATTTTATGAGTAAGATAAATTTTATTTGATATACGTACGTGCTTTTCTACGTTCCTCATCCGTGTTTTCGTTTAACAATGGACGGGCGAAAGCAAGCGAGTTTTTCGACAACTCAGTTTTAGCATCTGTTTAAAAATAGAAAACTATTAAAAGTATTTCTAATGCTTCTTAGAAATTATACATTTTTATTGTGAAATAAACGTAATAAATACTAAATTAATCCTATTCATGGACGCTTAGACTCGCATACAAGAAACAATTCCATGAATGATTGTGTTTAATATTAAAGGCTTGTAAAACAGTGGCAGTACATTTTAAAAATAAAATAGAAAGTAATGCATTATGAGTAATTGAAAAGGGTCTGTCCAATTCGGTATTGAATTAAGAATAGCAAAAAACAAATATCAAATTCTACTACATGAGTTTAATAGTTAACGGTCGTACACACATCGATATAACTTTAGCAACATGGAATGCAACAAAAGCTACGAAAGCATTACGAAAGAAGTATGTGCAAATGTGTGTCAGTAAAGTTAATGAGAAATCAAGCTCAGCCTTTTCAATGCACAGAATGCTGAATGGACAGACCAATGATTGTTGAGAAACTATTTTCTACACACCTGAATAAACTTGGTTCGCTACGGCTGTGATTGCATCGAATAAACCTGAACAGAACAGACCAAATCATAGAATTAATCACTGATAAAAAAGCAATGCTGAAAGCATTATAAAAAGAATGCATTTTGTATAATCTGAAGTAAACTGCTCGCTCTCATTCATGCAAATGTTAGTATTCGCGATAAAGGACAGAAAATTAACCGTAAACTAGTTAAATGTTTAAGTGAGGACGTTATTAAAAGTGCATTGATTATGATACAGTCTGTTCTCTCTTAAATTAATTCTGTTGGTTACGTAAATAAAGTGTAGCAATGAACCAAAGCGGTTTTTTCATTTATATGTGAATTCGAATAAACTTAAAACTAAGTAGTTAAATGTACTGAAATCTACAATTAAATTACTGAAGGGGAAAAAATGATGGAACCGTGGAAGATTAGTAGCTGAAAGGAAAAAGGATATGAGGACAAGAAATATCCAGGTTGACCTTTAATTTTGGAGTAACAAGGAATATTATTTTTTTTTGCTAAGATCCTGTAACTCACGATTTGAGGAATCATCATTCTGTGATTCACTTCGTCGGTTGTTTGCTGCCTGAATGGCATTATCCAATCTTTGGTTAAACCACTCTTTGTACTCATTGTACTTTGCCTCACTTAGTTCCTTCACACGTGGATCTGTTTACATTAATCAGTCCCACCGAAAATGGATCACGGTATCAATTGATATAAACTATCGATTTTAATCCTAATATCTGATAATTTTACCATAAACAAATTTACGTACCGATTTCAACCTTGTCAGCCAGATTTTTAGTTAATGAAACTAACGATCCACGGAAATCTTGCCACTGTTGTTCATTGGGAAATAGGTTACTAATCCACTTTATATCTGGGAGTTCATTCTTCCATTCCTCATATTTCTATAAATACATTAACTAATTATATAATTCTGAATATTGTTCCTATTAACGTTCAAGGTACAACTTACCTTTTGTAGCGTTACGCCTCCTCCGAGAGCTCCACCCAAGAGAATATAACGAATTTTAAGTACGCTTCTGAGGACTCTCCCTATTACCATAGCATATCCCCGATTGGGATTAATAAAACAACGTGTATGCGGTGATGCTAACAGAGGCCTACATACGATTCCTATTCTGCCAGACATCACATTTCGAGAATTTATAACAGACACGGGATGTCGAGAGTTCTTTGAGATTAAAAGGATAGTATGTCTGAAAAAAATAAGACAATTTAAGTTTCAACAAATATCAAAGTAACAGCTGTATAATAAAGAATGTCTGTCAATAAAATATCTTCGGTGAAACAGTAATATATTACACAATTTATATACACATGTAATAACCTATCTCTGACCACAGTGGTTTAACGTAGGAGGTATACTTCAAATTTACGAAAACCTTTTATGTGATCATTAGTAAAATCAAGATTTAATTTAACTAATGGGAGAGATTTTAAAGAAACCGGCGACCTTTAACTAAAACTTACCCGAATTTTCCACACAAAACTTGCTCCATTCTGCTCGTCGTACTTCAGTGCCAATATGAGTACTAACAAATATCGCTGGAAGTCAAACGTGTGACAATGTACATCAGTTATATCAAATATTTGACAATTGTAAAATTTATCTAAAATCGTCCTAACATGTATGTAATAATTAACGTTCCATAATTCTGATTTCGATCATCTTTCAACTTTGCAAATTAGAACGGGGAGCAGTGAACAAATTGGAGAGTTAACCTGAAATTGCAGCGCCCTCTTCTAGGTTACATATGCACAAGATGGACCAATCAGAACGCTCCGTGTATCCATTCAACCAATCGCATTAAACGTTATGCAAAAGAGGGGTTGTTCAAATATTTTTATATTAATTCACCTAAAATTGTGAGGCACAGATGTCACTTCGTTCGATTTTTGCAACATTATTAGCCGTCAGATGACACCATAAAATAACATGTATTTATTCGATAATAGTGTTCTTCTAATTTATTTTTATGGACTCTTTCAACGATACCTACGGAGTTCTTGATGTAATTCGAAACAGAATATGAAGATGGAGCTGCTGTTTGATGCAAGTTGCATGCGTATGTGTATTTCAGATAATGTATATGTATGGGAACATCGAATTTCCAGAATAGCACATTGACTTTAGTTAAAGCAAATTGAATTAATAGGCCACGTGCTTGGCCATGGGTGTACTTGTCAATTTATTTTATGATAACGTTTCAGAATGATGGCTGATATGTATTTCGAGATATTTGACTGGTATCCTAATTTAATTCTGGTCTCCGACCACCCTGTCACTTGGGAAGGATTGTTAACTACTGCAGGACAAACAAATCTTAAACACAGGTTAACGTTGAAGATTAAGTTAGAGGTGCCAAATTATCCCACTTTAACAGGAGCGAAGTTGCTTTTTGGCAGAACAATTGGTTTTTTAAGAACACGTGAACTTGATAAGAAAATTAGTAACTTGTTGAACACTACCTCGACTGTGTTATCATTTTTAAGACGACTGCAAATGCTTTTTGTAAGTAGTAAGGAAAGTTTGAATATATATCTGAGCGTGTTCATGGTTCAACTGATTCTCAATTTCTGAAATAAATAAATATACTGGCTGAAATCAATGCCGTGGTTTATTGTGGAATTATAATTTTTTTCATAAGTAGTATAATATCCTCAATTGATTTGTAATGTTATGAAAAGTAACGTGATAACATGCGATAAGAACGAACCATTTAGTGGTCCGACATAAAATAATCTTTGGAAGATATCTGTACGAATTTATATCTTTTGAGACATTTATTGCCATTAATATCTTGCGTCAAGATAGATGATTCTGCAGGTAAGGATTTATCAGTCATATGCTTTATTAGGATGATCTGATCTACTGCAGTAGTAACACCAAAATTTATACCGATGGCACTTTTAAAGAAGGGACCCTCGAGGACCTGAAAAATGTTTTATGCACACATTCTGTAAGTAAGACAAGAACAATGTACTCACAATAACGATTTTATATGCGACCACAGTTTTTTCATTTTTCATAGGGGATGAAATTATCATCCAACAGAACTTTTGATTTCGTTAAATTATATCTAAAGGGCGTACATACTACGTTAACGAAGGATACATATTATTTAAGTACCTGGAAAGTGGTATCCTCCGACCTTCCTGAACTTACAGTGGATCAACAAAAAACATTAACCTTAGGTGTAGCGATGAAAAAATTAGAAGATCGAGTACAGTTACTAGAAGATATTTGGCATCAACTAAGTCAAATCGATAGGTGGGTTTTTCCACGGATTGGATAGTTATTTCATTACTCAGTATATATATTTGTGTACAATCTTGTAAGCGTAATAGATTATGAATTACTTCTATATTGAGAACACGGATGGCTTTGCAGAGAATGAACATTGTCAGAAATCTGCTTTTTGGGGTATAGTAATTTAAGCATTTCGTTTTCTTACTGTTTATTTTGTAGAAATTGCTGGGTGATCGATCCGCAGAATCCAAAACCTTATCATCTGTATCGACGTATAAACCTATCGCAAAGTTTGTCAGTCCTCGTCACACTGGATCCATTGAATTCGTCTGCTTTGCCAGATATTAAACTGTTTGGGACAAATGCTGAGGTACAGGAGTACGAGTGTAGAATTTCTCAAAACTTACAGGTGTGCAGATAAATAAATTAGCCAAGAAATACTTTCGGATAGAAGTGTCATGCAGGACCGTTTTTTAGAATTGGGATTTGGAGTCGAGTCTACTAGATAATTTACAGAACTTGTTATGCCTAAATGAATTTCCTCGGGCATCCACGACGAAGTGCAATCCAAATCAAGGTGGAATCATCGAAGAGGAAGAATGTTGCATCTGCTTTTCATTGACATTAGACGAAGGGCAGTTACCGGATAAAATCTGTGACAATGAAAAGTGCAGAAGAAAATTCCACGTCTCTTGCTTGTTCCAGGTACAAACTATTATTGTTTTTGACTTCTTGATTAAGTGCAGATAATTTAAATCGGAACATGGGATTTCTTTTTCAGTGGTTACAGACAACTGCTAGAAATAACATTGTCTTCAACCATATCCATGGGGTGTGTCCTAATTGTGGGGAAAATATATCCTGCTCGGCAACTTGAAGGACGGTTACTACTACTTCTACAAGAAGAAACGTGATTTCTAAATGTAAATATCATTACGATTAATGGCTTCCATTATCAAGGCAAGCAATTCCAATTATCTTCCGCGAAAACGTAGGACTTGCTGCTTTGAATATTTCTCACATGTCGATTCGTTATCAAATTAAGAAACGTCGTTGAATTGCCAGCATTGAAAAGAGGCGAGGTCTCGTAAGTAAAGCGTTTTCAGTTCGAAGCAACAATCTATACGTATTGTATACGCGTGCAAGTAACGCAACTCGTAAAATTGCGATTTTTATTGCTATCAATAAGGGAGATGGGAGAACCGAGAGACCCCGCCGTTTTCCAATTACCGAAGATCCCCCTTTGGACAGGAGATGCTTCGTTGATTATATTAACGTCTTATTTAATTGTAACGAAAACAATTACTCCTAGAAATGAAACGTTTAATGTCTCTATTAAGACTTGTTTACACGAGCGAGGAAGAGGCGCACATATGCGTTACTTTTGTCTCTGCATCGGCCTACACTCATTCCTTTGTCGACAGGAATCAATTTCGCCCAATTTCCTTTAATTGAGAGGATATTAGAACCATCAGGGAACGGTTCCGTTCCGTTCGGTTCCGCGTAAGGATCAAGGAAATTGATCGAAAGTTGCTTTCCCGAAAACGTTTCATTCCCGACAATGGCGCCGAATGTTGCGGTAACGACGGTACCGGAAGAAGCGAAGAAGCCCCGATTTTGAAAAGCGATGTAACCCTTCAATTCGCAGGGACGATGATTTGATTCGACCGAATCGGGGAGTATTTCGACTCTATCTAGAAAAGTATTTCTATGTAGAAAACGAGCGAAACGGTTATTCGATGGATGTTCGACCCGTTGTTGGAAAAAGCCAACGGAAGGTACTCGGTCAGTGGGGGCTCGCATTATTGCCGTGTTCGCTGATGAAATTGCCGCAATCACACGGCAGTCGAAACGAGAATCAACCGGCATTTGTAAAGAGAGAAATTAGCTTTGCGACGAGGTGGAAAGGGCATAAGAACTCGTAACGAGCCACTTCTGAACCACCGGGGTTCGGTACCGAGGATTGGTTTTAAGTGGTTTTAGTCGGGTGCAACTACCTTCGGATATCATTCCGCTCACGTAAACGTATACGACCTCTCCTCCGTGGTATAAACCACGCATGTCGATGTGATCGAATTTCCCGGTACCGCGGGACTGGTTCTTCAAACGGTTTCTAATTCGGCAGGATGTGTCAAATAGGAGGAATAATTCGAATCGGTTCGGGCTGCTACAACGACGGTTGGTCAAAATCCAATAAATCCGAGATAAAATCACGCTGACAGATCGATCGATTCGATAGTCGGCGACGACCGAGTTGGCATCCTTGGTAAGCGAATCGCTCGATCGATCTTGGCGTCTCTACCGGTGCGGCGGAGGCGTCGCGGCCGCAATGGACGGACCGCCCGATCGGGCTCGTTGAATGCGCTCATTGATTGCGAAAAATGTGCCTGATGATAATTCGTACAGGGTAATTTCACCGCCACGGGAAGTCGGACGAAGATTCAGCGTCGAGTGCCTCCACGGTAAATAGGGCCACGGGATCGACGATTGCGAAACCTCCCTAAGGATCATCTCGAGGATCAAGGTACGTTTTCTCCGAAAGGTACCAATTTGGGTATCTACGAGATCTCAGTGCGTTCCGCACGGTATCGTTAAGAAGACTTCTAAATGAGATGCCGAAGAATCAAGGTTTGTTTTTCCCAAAAGGTATTGTCTTGTGCGACAATTTGGATATCTATGAAATCTCAGCGCGTTTGGCACGGTATCATAAAGAAGACTCCTAAATGAGATGCCACAGAATCAAGGTTCGTTTTTCCTAAAAAGTGCCGTCTATGAGGTGCCGAAGAATCAAGGTTTGTTTTTCCGAAAAAGTGCCGTCTATGAGATACCGAAGAATCAGGGTTCGTTTTTCCCAAAAGGTACCGTCTTGTGCGCCAATTTGAGTATCTATGAAATTTCAGCGCATTTAGCACGGTATCGTAAAGAAGACTCCTAAATGAGATGCCGAAGAATCAGGGTTCGCTTTTCTCAAAAGGTACTGTTTTGTGCGCCAAGTTGGGTATCTATGAAATTTCAGCGCGTTTCGCACGGTATCGTAAAGAAGACTCCTAAATGAGATACCAAAGAATCAAGGTTTGTTTTTCTCAAAAGGTGCCGTTTTGTGCACCAAGTTGGGTATCTATGAAATCTCAGCGCGTTCCGCACGGTATCGTAAAGAAGACTCCTAAATGAGATGCCGAAAAATCAAGGTTCGTTTTTCCCAAAAGGTGCCGTCTTGTGCGCCAATTTGGGTATCTACGAAATCTCAGCGCGTTCCGCATGGTATCGTAAAGACTCCTAAATGAGATGCCACAGAATCAAGGTTCGTTTTTCCCAAAAAGTGCCGTCTATGACGTGCCGAAGAATCAAGGTTCGTTTTTCTCAAAAGGTGCCGTCTTGTGCGCCAATTTGGGTATCCACGAAATCTCAGCGCGTTTTGCACGGTATCGTAAAGAAGACTCCTAAATGAGATGCCGAAGAATCAGGGTTCGTTTTTCCCAAAAGGTGCCGTCTTGTGCGCCAATTTGGATATCCACGAAATCTCAGCGCGTGTTACACGGTATCGTAAAGAAGACTCCCCTAAATGAGATGCCGAAAAATCAAGATTCGTTTTTCCCAAAAGGTGCCGTCTTGTGCGCCAATTTGGGTATCCACGAAATCTCAGCGCGTTCCGCGCGGTATCGTAAAGAATACTCCTAAATGAAATGCGAAATCAGCAGAAGACTCGCCTGGTCGAAAGGGCGAGATGGGATAAAATGGCCGGAAGGGAGGAGGCTGCCGGGCCAACGAAAGCCGCGAAATACGGTTCGGTAGAACCGAACCGAACCGAACCGAAGCGAACCAGGACACCTCTCCTCCGAACGTGGTGACGCACGAGCCCTCCACGAAGTCGTCGGCATCGTTCCGGGAACTAGAGATGTATACCATTCTCAGATAGAGATCTCAACTTCCAACTCCTGACATTCCAACTCCTTCGGCCGGTGGCCACCGTCGCGGTCGATTCACCGAAGATGAGTCGACACGCCCGACGACGAATCGGTCCGTCCGTTTCTCCCCGTTTAAAGTTTTCCGGCGAAATCAACGCGGCGTCCACTTGTACAGGGAAATAGCTCCTCGACCCCAACCGAGTCGTGAGCTATTCCGTAACGGAGAGAGGCTGATGCAATCGTATTTAGATGTAACGTTAGCTACCGTGACTCGCCGACTGACCCGATTAATTTCGATTTCGTTAGGAGCGAATTGGTAATGGCTCGTCCACGAGGGTCACTTTTAATCCAACGCGTCTAATACCCGGAACGGAGGAAATTTAATTAATTACCCATTTTAAGAATTTCAATCGTCTGGCTGGCCCCGAGAACGGCGACGGAGATGGACCAGGCAGATATGGAAATGGCAAGGAACTCCTAGTGTCGAATGATGAGGGAAATATCTATCTTAGCGGAGAAAGGCTTAGGAACGGAGGACTCGTTCGTACCGGTAGGTGCGCACCTCTGTGCCCAACGAGAGGCAACGCGCGGGCAACGTGCAGGCAACGCGCAGGCGCACGCGCAGGCATCCGCGAGAGCATACTCGGAGGTGCGCGCCTGGCTAACGAATTGAATTGGTTGCCACGGGAACCGATCCCCACCCTGGTCTTCCTCGACCAATCGGCTCGTCGGAACCGAAGCGAGGGACGCCGATTGTTACATTTGAAACGTATAAATGTGCCGATGGCGATCCTTCGCCAGCCAGTTCTTCTTTCGCTTCTGTCAATAGTTGGAAGTCATCTTTTTTTATCTTAATCCTTGACAATCGGTTTGACCCACCGCAGTTACGGCGTTCTCCGATCTCACGGTGAGTCTCCTACGACCTCTACGTGGTACCTTACTAGAAAGGAAACGCCATCCACGAAGTGGGAAGAAATGAGAAAAGCTCATCCTAATCGCTTTTCCATGGTATAAAGGCGTTCATCGAATCGCTGAAACGTTTTTTTTTCTGTTGGCGATGGTAATTGGTGCGGGTGATCGTTAATGGCGGTGTAGAATTCTAGGGACGTCTACACGTGGGGTTCTGATTGCTTGTAATGACGTCTTTCGGTTAATGAGGCGAGTGTACACGCATGGGTCCCCTTGGTATGTTTCTTCGGAATCGAGTTGGCGCGAGTGATCGATTCGACGTAAATTTTCCGTCGGGGTGGTGGGATTTACTTTTTGGCAATTAAACCGCTTGTTTAGGTGGTCGTTGATTGACGCGCTCAGTAGGGGATGGCGGTAAAGAAATCCGATAACTCGACTGCGATGGCTACACTGAGGAGAAATTTTTCATCGAATCGAGGATGTATTCCTTCGAATAGTGTCAAAGAAATATCCTGTTAATTCTGGGAGTAATTGACGCAACGTTTGTTAGGAATTATGACAATTCTATTTGAGGCAAATCATTATTCTTGGAATTATGATGATATTTCTTTGGTACCGTTCGAAGAAATATTTCTTTCGTTAAATCGGTTTCTTTTCTCTCAGTGTACCGAATCGGCAGGTTTGCATTCACGCAACATCCACGTGACATTTACATGAAATCGACGTGAAATTCACGCGACATCCACGGGAAGTCCCGTTCCTCGTTTCGAGCCGATCATCGCCCTGGCCCTCTTGACTCGTTACTTCCTTCTCTTACCGTGTACGTACATACGTACCGGGCTCTTTTCTTCCGAGATTGCCGATTACGGATCCGTCCAGTGCGATGCGACCGACTCTGGAGGTGAAGCTTCGAAGAGCCGGAAATTAAGCCATTGTACTTGAGGAATCGGAAAAACCGGCTGATGTATCCGCTCTACCTATAAAAAAATAATCGTCACCTTTTGCACCGTGAAAACATGTCGAGTCTAAATATCCGCCCTTCTAAGACTCGCGGGCAAGAGCATGAAGATGGTGTAAAAAATTTGCATTAACTCGAAATGTCTTTCGTGTCAGGGCTCCGTCTATTATCTGATAATAAAAGGTGAATAAGACTCCTCTCGGACTCTCCAGAATGGAGAGGCGACTCCGCGCGCACGTGCTTTCGCTCGGTGGACGCGCCGATCGTCCGATCACGAGTGCGGTAATCGCTCGGACGACTTACGAGCGCGTCAAATAGGTACATGACCACGAAGACAGGCCCGGTGATTCGAATTCCCTGCACGTTACCCGGAGGAGTAACCCGGTATCGGAAGGAGTTAAGGCAAAGTGAAACACGTGGAGGAAATTTCATCGACGTCGGTAAAAAAAATCCTTCTAAATACCAACGTTATCGACGTTCGGATTCATATGGGCAGCTACTCATCATATTGGGTATTGCACTAAATGGCACACTCCGTACGTTGTTTCCATCGAAATACTAGAGTTAGACGCCGTTTTGGTTCTGGTGTGAGCTAGGTGAAAGAAAATCTTCTTCGAAAATCCAAACTTTTCAAGGTGTCGGGGTTAGTCTCTGGTGCTCGCGAGTCAGGTGTCAAGGCTTCGGGCTGTTGGATAGGATATTCTTTTAAAAGAAGCGTCTTATCTGAATGGCTCGATTTGATGGGGGGTTCTCTTCACCTTAAGCGTTAAACGCTGGAGGTCTCAGGACCTCGCACCGTGTACGCTCGAGCCGACTTCCACTTACGGGGAATCCTTGAGTTATGCTCGGACCGAGGCTAAGGGGGCTCTGCTGACGTCAACGAAGATGGCCCCTTTGCCTATCTAATCGGTTTCGGGAAAGACCGTTCTCGGCGCGGCCGCGGTCGACGTTCCGCTCTCCCGCAGGTGTTGGCTCTGCCGTGCATCGTCATTCGTTCCAGGTGTCTGCTACATTTTTCCAGTCGATCGAGGCGGTCCGTACCGATGTCCACGAGTGAATCTTACTAGAATAAAGAAGTACTCGCTGGACGATAACGGGTGGAAAATGTCCCTCGGCATTTCTTTGCGATACCACGTGGCAAAATGGTTTCGGCAAATGGGCCGATTATTCCTCTTCATATATTAAAATATTGTACATTCTGCATGAATCTCTTGCTCATTTTCTTTACGCCTGTAATGAGACGTTCCATTCGATAACTGCAATGACCACCGAGTCTGCGGTAAAAAATTAATTAATTCCACCTAAAGAATTAAATTCCTTAAAAAATTAATTCCACCTAATTCGAACGTTTCTTCTTAATGTAAAAGATGTAATTATCTGTGAGTGTCATTAAGTCCTTTATAATTTATTTTTTAGATGCGCCTGCTATTCAGTTACCTAGCATGCGTGATAACGATTGGCACGGTGACCGGAAGTCCTTTAACGTACATACATGGACCACAACCGGACCTTCTTGACGAACAATCGATTATCGAGGAAAATGCCTTGGATCGCGAGGTCTCACCTCACGATGTTATCTATCACGACGACCGAGATGCTTCCAGACATGCCGACAATAAAGCGGTCCGTTTATCATAGTACTCTAAACAATTGGTAGTGAGAACTCCGTCTAATAAGTTTAAGTAATAAATTAAGTACAGAAAATAGAACGTTCATTGTCGGGAAAACTCTAAAACAGTCTATTCGGGGTTTTAGAATTTTCTAATATTTATAATAATAAATTCTCACGACCGTGTGTCGAATTTTTAGGAATACACGAGGGAGTGGACTTTTATCTACAAAGGAGGGCCAACGGTGTTCACCGCTCCCGAAAGGTATACCGAATCCAAAAGAAATGTCTCATTACCACAACGTACAATTACTTACGGATAAATATTTTTTAGATTTAGGTTCGTGACCGAATGCCAAGCTTCCGGAAGTCCCTCACCCCAGATCTATTGGTTGAGAGGTGAAGATCCTCAGAAGCAGGTATTTTTTTTAAATTCATGCATGTATCCCGTTCTTATTTACTAAAATTTTTCACAATATTTCTAATAAATCCATGTGTTCGCGGAATCCTTCGATGGTAGTTTAAACTACTTATCATCATTCCAGTTAAACGAGCTGATAGGCAACAGCGTAGCGGATGTGAAGTCATCGCCTGGCACGATCGCGAAAGTATCTTCAAAATTGGTAATCGATTGCGTCTCGCCAAGCGACGTGGGTAATATCTATTGCGCCTCCGTGTCCGGAAGCAAGACGGCTATCTCGAGTCCCTTGGTGTTCCGCGTGATCGGTAAGTCGGTTTCCTTAAATTGTGGAGAAGGTCGCAAATCGTGGGGTTAAAGTGGAGGTCAATGAATTTGTAGAAAACACCACGGGGCGCAACCACAGCGGCTGTGGAGCCGAGAGCCAACCCACTGTCACCATGTTTGCCCCCACAATGTTGGCATTCATCGGCAGCAGAGTCGTCCTGCCCTGTAGGGCCAGTGGAAGGCCCCGGCCCCATACTTACTGGCTAGATATTAATGGAAAACTCGTCAATCCCTCGGAGAATCCGCGATTCAAGGCTCTCAGCAGCGGCGAGCTGGTAATCGACCCTCTACGATGGGAAGACATGGGGGGCTACTCGTGTGTAGCAAGGTCTGGCAGATTGGAAGATTCGGTTACTACCTTCCTCTATCCCGTTTTGGTGAGTGTCACGTGGGGAGGCCCTTTTCAATTGGCAAAATTGTCTATTAACAATTTATCTAAAATCCAAGAAGTATAGATTAATTCCTGAACCATTGGTCTAATGCTTGGTCGATGATTCATTTAATTCCCTTTCGTTGCAGAACACCAACGAACATAGCTAAAGGGACCATCGGCCGGGATGTGGAGATGAAAACGAAGATATTGGACTATTCCAATTGCAGTCCGAATTAGCCAAGAGTACGATCGATCGCCGTAGTCGCGTGGGCCTTTCAGTAGACGTACACGACGTAAAGATACACGACGCGCGGTGACACGCCGCGAGTCTCGTCTAGTCATTAAATATTAGGCAAAGTTGATTACGTTAATTGACGGAAGTACTTGTAACTTAATTGTTTTTCCTATGGAGCTACGTTCGCGTTTTGTTTGGCATATGCTTGGCTTGTTTCTTTTGCCCAAGAGCAACGAGCCAAACATCTCCGTCAGCTTTTTCGTTGCGCAATCGTACCTACTTTCGATTGCGGAAGTAGAAGCTTGATGCCACGACGACGATCAAATTCTGTACTTACGGGTAAATAAAAGCAGCATTTTACCACACGTTTCTAGTTCAATCGTCACGTCTTCATTTTTATGATATGATTTACTGCTTTTTGTTTTCCGGCAATCCCTCTTCCGCCTCGTGGCTCTGTTGCGATCTTCGGAGATTTTTAAATCGCGCGGAAGTGAAGGGAGAAAAATTGCGTGCATTATTTAAATTTTGGCAGAATAGGAGAAAGTTCAGAATTTAAGTTCAAGTATGTAACCGAGAATGTTACGATAATTTAAAAATTTCTAGGGAATTTAAAAGAACTTGAGAGAACTCTGAGCACTTGTATTTAAATTAATTCCTAAAAATCATTTATTACTTTTAATACGTAATATTCATAAAGCTGAGGTCTTAACTTATTAGTCGAAAATAGTGTTCCTTTAATTTGTGATTCTTTCCTTACTGGCTATTTTCTATTTCTAATTATTTATTCGTCGGTTATATTCTCGGTTATATTACCAGGGTAATATAACGCACTAAAAACTCTAGATCGGACAAATCGGGAATTCGGCCGTGAGCGCAGCGTCACTCGATGGTGGATGAGGTACAAAAAATATCCGCAGGAATAAAGGCGCTAGTGTCGCAAAAAGTTTCGTAGCTCTGCTTCCCGACTCTCAGCTTTCTGTTTCGTTTAGGTTTGATTACAGGAAAACAAAGAACTTGATGGATGTTTTAATTATATCTTGCAAAAGTTTTATGGTTTCAAAAATAAGACTGTGACAATTTATAGTAATGGATAGTCAAGTATGCGGAGAAGGTAGATTGTTGGACCTGATCGACGAAGCTTGGCGCAAAGAACGATTGCCCATTGACGAGATCTTGGTACCAATATCCGAATTGCCTGATCCCGAGAGTGACAACGGCGATTCACACATGACTTTAAAGGAACTGGAGCAAAAGTGGAACAATCTGGCCCTTGGTACTCTTAGTGAAAATCATTTGCACTCGCCCACGTCTTCCCACAACTGACCCGATTTGACATAACCTAATTAAGACGATGGAATTTCCTGAAGTGGGGACCCATTGTGGATTTGTAACGTGTGGTTGCCTCGATTTTTTACCATTCACGTGTTCTTTCTGTAAAGTTGTATTTTGCAAGGAACATATACAGCCAGCTCAGCATTCTTGCTCAAGTTGTCACGATAACGTTACTCCTTCGTCATCGACACTGCTGCTCTCCGTGAATGAGAAACCATTGAATTATCTGTGTGGTTTCCCATCATGTCGAGAAACTTCATCGATAGAAATGCAATGCGAGAAATGCCATTCGCATTTCTGCATATCTCATAGGTATCACCAGTGTTATGAAATTAATCCAGACGCAAGACTGAAGGAACTCCGCAAATGGCAAGTGCCGAAAGAGGAATATGCTAAGGCAAAGGCAATTGTGGATCGCGAGATTACGAATAGATTAAAGAAATCAAAAAATATGGCGACCGCAAATAAGGTAAGGGCATCAAAATTTATAAAGGAGGATAAGAATACCTTGATACGATAAAATATTACAATGTTAATGTTGCGCGAATCTGATTTTGCTTTATTTCATTTAATGTGTTCAGGTGCAGTTAATGCGAATAAAGGGAAAAGCAACAGGCAATAGCAAGATACCGACCAGTGATAGGCGTTATTTTCTCGCATATCCACCCATTAATGGACTAATCCCAAAAAATGTGGAACGACCTAAAGCTGTGTTTGTTGACATTCACTGGACTTTAGGAAGAACTGTGGATTTTTTGGTTAAAAGTTTAAAGTTACATAATATCGAATCGTCGAATACAGAAAAATTACAAATATTTCATCACAATACCGGCCATCCCGTTTGTGAACGATTAGATGTAACACTAGTGGAACTCTTTGAAAACAATGATCTCATTGATGGCGAAACTATAATACTGGAATATTCAAATGGTGAACCAGTAGATGTTACTTTGTATGAATAATAGTATTCTGAAGTTTTAAGATTAAATACGACAACATTTTGTGGAAAATAAATCAGGATGGAAACTTCTCACGGGCTTCAGGTTTCTTTCGTAGAAGTGTAAGGAAAATGTGAAATAATGTCAAATTACCCTGTTCCAATGTGAAAAAATAGTTTTTAAACGTAGTAAAATATGTTAATCATCTCAGGTTATACAAAAGTTCATTTAATTTCAACGATCTAAAGTTTTAAAAGTTTTCCCGAGTCGTGTCGATTTTTACATCGTGGGAAATTGTTGTACTTTGGCTGACAGTTTATACGGTGAATGTGGGTTATCAGCAAAGATGTTCACGTTTAGTTTGTCTTATCTCCTTTTAAAAAAGGATAAAGACGGGTTACCTGTAAAGTGTGAGTATAGATACGGACCCCTCCTCTACTTTCAGGTAATTATCTAGAAGTCAATGAACTTGTATCGCTAAGGATATGCTGAACAGCGGAGTGCTATTTCAGTGGTGTTTCCGGATTCTTTCAATACGTATGCTTAAAAAACCCTACGCACTGCAAAGTTTAACTTTTTTAAATTGAAAGTATTTTTTGCAGACAGACATGTTAACAACCATACACATTATTCGTTTAAATTATGGACAATTGCTTCTTTTACTCCGTTGTATGTTTTCCAATTGGAATTATTCTCTTATCATGTATCGAATATATTAGGAAAACAATGGAAACTGTATACTTGAATTTGTACAATGTTAAATTACCATTTAATCTTCTTAATCTGTAATCCGTAGAGGCCTGTTTATGCAAATTGTTAAGACGAAGGTGCGTTTATTTTAATTAGAGTCGAGTCCATCCCCACTACGTGTCTAAATAGTTACAGCAAAGTAGTATCTTTATCGTGGTCACTTCCAGTTGAAACTTCGTCACCGACAAGGAATTGTCGCAGTTTCGATAATAACCAACGCGCTAAAAGAATAATATCAAGTTAAAATTAAGTTCGTTATTAAAAATTCTTCCATGCGAGTGAAAGAGTGTCATGAAAAATTATCTAGAAATTCGGTAGAGTTCCGAGACAAATACATTTGAGCGAGAAACTCGTAGTGTCGAATGTTGAGCGAAATGCGCCTTGCTAAAATAATCGCCACCTATGTTAATGCGATTAAAAGCGTTTTCGACGCGCATATGTTTGTACACGCACAGTAATTGGTTATTTTCATCGTCTAAACTATTTTGAGATCTAACCTGCGATATTGAAGGTTTAGGTGATATATTATACGATTAAGCAGTGATAAGCTACCCGGTGGAATTCCATAATTTCAAAACGCTCCACGAAATGCGAATTCAAGGTACAGGGAAGAATTAAAATAACCGACGTAAAATTTATTAACGTCATCTATAGATGGACTCGAGTGGATCGACAGATCTTTTTATGATATTTAAATACCAGGTCTATTAAAAGAGCTATCGCGATGTCTTATCGGCAGTCTACGTGAGAAATGTGCAACGACGACAATTGTAGAATCAGGTGTGCATCTCTATTCAGTATTTTTTATTTGCATTTATGTAGATATAGGTCGTTCTTTTTCTCATATTAGACCGAGTCCAAGATGAACTGCAACGTCGTTCCTCTGAGCAATTATTCGAAAATCAGTTATCGGGTAAAGTGCGTCGACGTGGTGAACGAACGCGCATTTGGTGATTTAATTACGAATGAAACGGGGAGTTTTCAAGATTACCATGCCGAGTCATTTTACGCGGATGAGTTATTACATCTCTATCGAAGAAAGCCTCGAAACTTGATGCAGCAGACATTGGAAAGTCCAGATTTCATGGTACTTAACACGAAGGAAAATCCAGGATGTATTACCGAGACCAGGGAATTCGGCGAGAAAGTTTTCCGAAGTTTGACGACCTCCATCGAGAAAGCTATTCCTCCTCCGAAGAACACCAACAATGGCGAATCTCTTAAGAAAAAGGTGCAACCTTAGCTATAGATATTATCTCATATTTTAGTAATAATTTTTTAGATTCACTCGGTTGGTCCGAATGATCAATCGTTGACTGCTTTCGCGTAGTGTTTTTCTTTGCCATCGGGCACTGAAAAAAGAATCAAGAAATTGAACCAAAGAAATGTGCCCATAATTATGAAAGTAGTCTAAGTCAAAATTAAAAAAAAATGATTTTATCAGTTATTTCACGCCATATTATTTCAAACGAAATTAATTCAATGTAATTTCGAAACAGAAAATATATGACTTAGACCACTTTCATAATTATGGGCACAAATATCTCGTCAATTCTAAGGATAATTATTTGACTGAATTAGAGGTACTTTGAGAGAAGTACCATGTACTAATGTTGCGTTTTTCAGACGTATCCGTCGCCGATGAGGAAAATATGCCCACGTGAGGAAGAAACACTGTCTTCTTTGGTAGATCAGCTGCTTTTGGATATCTACGGTCTCCCCAGAGGAGACAGACCCTCCGAAACGGTCTCGACGACCTCCTCCTCGAAGCCACGAAGCGAGCATCGCTATCTCCAGGGTACGCGACTTCGGTTGAAAAGTAAGAATGCAACTGGGAACTTCTAAATACAGCGAAATCGGTTATTCGGGTTGTTCAGGGCTGTTCAAATGCAAGTTTCTCGATTACCAGAGTGTTCTGAATCTTTGTACAATTGTCCTGACACTTTCGTTCCTCATATCGGAGCCTTCAATAATTGTATATCGATCGAAATACGAGAGCTCTCCGCCATTTTGGTTCTGGTCTGGGCTAAGTTAAAGAAATTTCTCTCGAAAATCCAAATTTTTTTCTGTATCGAGACAATTAGGGGTGCGCGAGTCATGCGTCGAAGTTTCGGATGGTTCGCGGTACAATTCCTTAAAAAAAAAAAAAAGTGTCATTCAAATCGACCGATTTGAGGAGGGAACATTAAAAATAAAAGGGAACATTAAAGAAATTTCTCTCGAAAATCCAATTTTTTTTCAGTATCGAGACAATTAGGGGTTCGCGAGTCATGCGTTGAAGTTTCGGATGGTTCGCGGTACAATTCCTTAAAAAAAAAAAGCGTCATTCGAATCGACCGATTTGAGGAGGGAACATTAAAAATAAAAGGGAACATTAAAGAAATTTCTCTCGAAAATCCAAATTTTTTTTAGTATCGAGACAATTAGGGGTTCGCGAGTCATGCGTCGAAGTTTCGGATGGTTCGCGGTACAATTCCTTAAAAAAAAAAAAAAGCGTCATTCGAATCGACCGATTTGAGGAGGGAACATTAAAAATAAAAGGGAACATTAAATGATTAAGTGGAAATCGTTGGAAATCCCGGCAAAATAATTGCCAGAATTTTTAAGGCCGACTCTCTCCTCTTACCGAATCGCATTGTTTTGTTGTATGAAATCGAAAGGCAATCGGTTCTAAAAGAAGGATCTCGTTTTCACTGATTTCCGAGTGAATAGCCCCTCGGGAGGGAATGCACGTTAGCGATATGAGTCATCACGTCGGTCCACGGAAATTGGCCAGCGGCGGAGTCTGACGAGCTCCACCGTTGGCTGGCCTTCTTGACCTCGAAAGACGCTCCTCACTGCGGCACCCTTAAGTACAATCCAACGAAGAACCACTCCTTTTGGATCTCTTGGTCAAACCCTCGAATTTATCTACTTTACGGCGTCTGAAATATCAAAGGCAGAGACCAAGCCGTCGTCCACCGCGACCCTAGCAAAATAATCTCTATTACCAAAAGGTGTTACATCGAGGAAGAAAAAAAAGAAAAAAAAAAGAGTAATTTCATCTCCTCACTGAACCAAAGAAATATCTCGAAAATCCGAAGAATAATTATCCGACCCTAATAAATTGCCACAATTCCGAATAAACGTTGCATATCCCATTAATTCCAGTTTATTCGAGGTAAATAATTACTCTTCGAATCAACGGAATATTTCTTTGGTTCAATGATACTTTTTTACTCCGTGTTGAATTTACTCTTTTTCATTATTTTTTTTTTTTTCTTGATTTTGGTTAAATTACATTTTTTTTCGTCAGGCGTCGACGAGCTGCACGTCTTGGTGGACGATTTGCAGGAACGCATCGACCACGTCGGCGGTCTTCTCGTTCGTCAGCTGCGCCGAAGGGATTACTTAGTCAACAGACGTAACAAGCGGTACGACGTCGTCACTGCACATCTTCAAGCGCGAAGCGAAAAGAGGAGTAAGTCGGAGCTTGAAATTTCCCTCCTCGTGAGAATCGCATCTCGTTGGTCATTACGTACCGACATACGTCATCGCATTATCCGAGATACGGAGGTTGCGGTTTCATTCCGCGATAAAAACATAGATATTTCATAACCATTGGAGCTTCCGAAACGACTCCTAGGTATTATTTCCTCGCGGGAACGAATCTGGATCATCTTGACAATGGATGAAAAGTATGCATACGTTCTGAGCGTCAGACTTGGAACAATTGAACGGAATCGGTTTTCCCTGTATCGAGGATATCGACAGGGATTTCCGCATCGCAGTCCTTAAAGTGATACGAAAGGGTCATTATGTATAAACAAAACGTCAAAATATAAAACTTCGCCAAACTGGGTGTACCGAATCGTTTGAAGCGTGGAATTTCTTTTTTGATAAAGAAAAATTGTCTTATCTGCCTCGGACTAGAATTAAGGATATATATATATTTTTTTAATGAAATTTTATGGGCACCGAGTTTTTTGGTAGGACCTCCATAGTCACGTGGTAATGTTTTAGATTATTCGGTGCACTCGGGAATGGAGAAAAGTCTTATATTTCCACTTTTTGATATGTATATGGTCAGTTTCGTAACGCCTTTAACCCGCAGCCACTTCCGCGCCGGAATTAGCCGACTCGACTAAAAATATCGGGAGGTGCTTCCGGATTCCGCTTTTTTTATTTTTTTTTTCTTACGCTGCATCTCTATTCGCGACCAAACCGAGCTCTCGATCGGATATCGAACCAAAGTGCCCACGAAAGTCTTTGAACCTTCGAGGAGATATCGGGTAGACGCGAGTTTCCTCAAAAAGCCTGAAAAACTCCGTAAAAGATATTCCTCCCTCTCGAAGTTGACGTTCGCACGTTAATCGGACAGTTTTTAACCATATCGCGAAGAACAATCTCCAACAGATAGGCTTTTGTAACTTTAAGGCGATATGAAAGTGCCACCTGAAGGGTCAATTGTTAGTAAAAGTTTTCTCTGAATTCAATCGCTTCAAATTTTTAAATTCAAATGTGCCGATCCTAAGGGAGGTCTTAACAGCCATGAAATTTCAATTTTTATGAGAAAATTTTTTAAACGTGTATAAAGAAGTTAAAAAAAATTGTAATTCAAAGGGCGTCGGTTTTTAACCATATTGCGAAGAACAATCTCCAACAGATAGGCTTTTGAAACTTTAAGGCGATATGAGAGTGCCACCTGAAGGGTCAATCGTTAGTAAAACTTTTCTCTGAATTCAGTCGTTTCAAATTTTTAAATTCAAATGTGCCGATCCTAAGGGAGGTCTTAACAGCCATGAAATTTCAATTTTTATGAGAAAATTTTTTAAACGTGTATAAAGAAGTTAAGAAAAAATTGTAATTCAAAAGGCGTCAGGACCTTCCTTAGGGTCTACATATTATAATTGTAAAGTTTGAAACGATTCGATACACCCAGTCTCACGACTGACCCTTCGGATAACACTTTCGTATCGCCTTAAGACTTTTTTATCTCTTCTCCGCGATCGTTTTTCTCGTTTTAAGGCGCAATGCGGCGGTGCCTCTTTCGATGGGCGACGGGCTCCCTTATGGTTTAAGACGTTCCTTCGTGGATTCCCGTAGGACACGGGAAGAATCGCGCGCGCAATGGACACGCGGTGTAGAGGATAAAGCGAATGCCGCACGCGGCGTTGCAGTGATCAATAATTACGCTTTGCCGCGCTCGCGGTGACCAAAGCGCATGCGCCGAATATCCGAGCAAGTCGAGTTCCCTTTTCTGGACCTCTTCCCCTCGTCCTTACGACCTAATCTCGACCCTCCCCCAAGGATATTTGCGATAACTAATTATTCCAATACCGACTAGAAATGATCGAAAATTATTTCCAGCCATTCCGTAAACCGTATTTCTTTGGCATACCATTGAAACGGTCCTCTACGCCGAGAGAGAAAAAAAATGTAACTGAATAAAAGAAATACGTTGTTTATTCAAGGAATAATTATTTCACTCGGATAAACCCAGATGAATTGGACGCGGTTTTTTTTTTTAAATTGGGGTAATTTATTTCAGCCAAATAATTATTTGAATGAAAAATACATTACTTTGGTTGAGTGAATTTTGTTTTTTTTTTTCTCAGTGTAAGAATCGATGTCATGCGTTTCTGGGTAGATCGTCGCCGTTCTTAGGACGGAATTTAGATCCTATTCCACGGATATTGAGGAAAACCAATTGCCCCAATATCGAGTAGAAATGATCGAGAACTCTGTGCAGTATTTCCGGGAAGTGAATTTTTTGGCCTTTCGGAGTCGACGCGACACTTTTGGCTGCGCGTGGATCGATCCCGAAAATTTCGATATGCTATCGGGTCGTTCGCGAGGGTTAAAGAATAAATCGACTCTGGAAGGTCTGGAGCGAGTTTCGATATTCCGATGCGAGGAACTCGGACACTTTGGGGGTCTTCGGTTGCAGACGGCCGGTTACCGTCCCTTGATCGGGCCGGTGCGACTCGACTGCGCAGGCGTCGCGACGTCGCGGCGGCGCGGCGGTGCCACGGATGGAAGCCTGCGGGTGGCTTCGGCAGTGCCCCCGTCGCTCCGCTCCGGGTGGAAACTACCCTTAAATCCGACGGCGTCTCCGCGTCCTCGGCGCCGCAGCTGGCCGCAGCTGATTCGTCTCCGCGAGGGTTGCGGCTCTTCCGGCGCGATTCGGCCGCGCGCTGCCTTCGATAGCCGAGATACGGCGACGGCGAGCCACGTCGCGGTCTCGTCGTTGACGTCACGATTCCGTCGAGCGGAATTCACCCCCCGGCGATGCGTTTCCTAGGTGTCTCGCTTTGCTCCCAGCGAGTTCCGGTACGGGGGTGAGGGGATTCACGGGCAAGGGTGGTACGCGGGGGTGAAAGCTTCTGATTAGACGAATTTCATTCCAAGAGTTCGATTTGATGTGATCGATTAGGCGGATTTCATCCTAAGAGTTCGATTCGACGAATTTCATTCCAAGAGGACAATTCGACGGATGTCATTTCGAGTTCGATTTTACGAGTTTGGTTCGACAAATTTCATTTTAAGAGGGTGATTCGACGGATGTCATTTCAAGTTCGATTTTACGAGTTTCATTCCACGAATTTCATTCTAAGTCTAAGTCTAAGTCTAAATCTAAGAGTTTGGTTCGACGAATTTCATTCTAAGAGGCCGATTCGACGGATTTCATTCCAAGAGTTCGATTTGACGAGTTTCATTCGACGAATTTCATTCCAAGATTTTGATCCGACGAATTTCATTCCAAGGGGGCAATTCGACGGATGTCATTTCGAGTTCGATTTTACGAGTTTGGTTCGACGAATTTCATCCCAAGAGGCCGATTCGACGGATTTCATTCCAAGAGTTCGATTTTACGAGTTTCATTCGACGAATTTCATTCTAAGAATTTGATCCGACGAATTTCATTCCAAGAGGGCAATTCGACGGATGTCATTCCAAGAGTTCGATTTGACGAGTTTCATTCGACGAATTTCATTCCAAGAGTTTCATCCGATGGATTTGATTGCAAGATTTCGATTTTACTCGTTTCATTCGACGAATTTCATTCCAGGAGTTTGATCCGATGAATTTGATTGCAAGAGTTCGATTTTACGAGTTTGATTCGACGAATTTCATTCGAAGAGTTTCATCCGACGAATTTGATTGCAAGATTTCGATTTTACGCGTTTGATTCGACGAATTTCATTCCAAGAGTTCGATTCGACGAATTTCATTCCACGATTTTGATCCGACGAATGTGAATCGCAAGACTTCGATTTTACGAGTTTGATTCGACGAATTTCATTCCAAGAGTTTGATTTGAGGAGTTCGATTCGACGAATTCAGTTCGACGAATTCGATTCAACGAATTCGATTCAACGAGGTAACCCATCCGTATCCGTTTTTCGCCATCGAAGGAGATTTCTCGGTTGTCCAATGAACGTATTTCTCGATTCTCGAGTATCGACCGTGGTCCTCAATCCGCCTGAATTTCCGGATCCATTCGCCCGAGGATTGCTTCACGCGAACAGAAGGAATATTAAGAAGGAGAGACGTTTCCGTGCTTCCAACGTAGGGAACGTAATCGAAAGACACCGTGGAGACGTAGCGGAATATCGGGCTTAGAAGGTTTTAAGGAAAACCGTCGTTCCCACCGCGTGGCACGTTCGCTTTCGGGCACAAGGTTCTGTTTACAATTGCAGATCCGCGTGAATAAGCAAACGTCATCGGCGTAGGAGAAAATCGGAGGAATCTCGAGGCGCGAGAAATGAGTTCCGTTTGGCTCGCCGTCGACGTCGCCGTCGCCGTCAACGTCGCGGAGGGACTTTAAATATGCTCCCCTCGCGGAAAAAGTATCGCAAAGCGATACGACTGAAGATGCTCTACCCGCGGGAGATAAAGAGCGGAGGAAGATGAGTCGCGAGAACGGATAAAGGAGGGAGGGAGACCGGGATGAAGAAGAAGGAGCGGAGATTCTAACCGGAGAATGAGCAGATTCATCAACTCGCTGAAGAGCCTCGCGTCAGGAGCCGCGAACGCTTCCGGTACCCTCTCCAAGTACCAGGAAGAAGAAGGTTAAGTCACCGATTCCGGGAAAAATAGGAACCTTTTAAGGCGAAGTGAAACACGTCGAGGAACTTGATCAACGTCGATAAAGAAGATTTTTCTAAATGCCTACGTTGCCGACGCTCGTTTTTATATTGACAGCTGGGTCGAATTATATTGTGTATTTTACCAAATAGCATATTTCACCTGTCGTTTTCGTACAATAATTATAATGAAATCGAAGTAAAACTCCAGAAATCCTCTGGATTCATGCCTTCTGGGGCCCTAATTGACTGCGGAGGGACCCCCTGCGCCATCTGTGATTTCCAGGTCGATTAAATTTTCCCTCCGAGACCTCGTATTACCATCGTTTTAGCAAAGAAGCGCATACAACACTTTTTTTGCCTTTATTCCGTTCAAATGGGAATTTATCGATTACCAGAGTGTTCTAAATTGTCGCAAAATTGTCCTGACCCTTTCGATTCTCATATCAGAGCCTTCGATAATTGTATATTGATCGAAATATGAGAGCTCGACGCCATTTTGGTTCTGGTCTAGGCTGAGTTAAAAAATTGGTTTGAAAAATCCAAATTTTCAATGTGTCAGGACAATTCTTAGATGATCATGAGTCATGTATCAAAATTTCTGACAGTTTGGTCTGATACCCTTAAAAAAAAGTGTTGTATTCGAACCGACTGATTTGAAGGATGTTTCACTTCACCTTAAGAAGAACCCATCTCCGAAATCGATGCGCCTAGAAAATCTGGAAAATGTCCCGGAAACCTAGACCGCGAAAAAAAGAAAAAGATCTCATTGAACCGATCGAATCACTTCTTCGACTAGTACCAAAGAAATGCATTTTCAATTCAAAGAACAATTACGTCACCGAAACCAATTCTCATAATTCGGAATAAATGTTCCATCGGATTTTATTCCAGTTCATTTAAGCCGGATGATTATTCATTGAATTAATTTAATATTCCTTTGGTACCGTTCAAGGAAATATTTTCTATGGTTCAATGGCGTTTTTCTTTCTTTCTCGGGGTAAACAATAGAGCTGATGAATTCGCGAACGGAAACGTTGCGGATCAGATGCGGCCGATTACGGGTAAACGACGTCTGAACCTTCGTTTTGACGTTTTAACCCTTTTCAATGGAAGAAGTCTCGTCTTTAGAAGGCGTGAGGATTTTGTAAGCTTTCGAGTGGTTCGGGAGTCCCGATGGTTATTCCAAAGTTTCCTACCGCGGGAAAATATCGATTACCCCTGAAATGGTTGACATTTATCGAGGCACGCTTGACTAAATCGGAAAAGACCCTCCTGCGTGTCAAAGAGACGATTGACGCGTCTTCAGGGTTTACACACGGCGACGTTAATGACTATTCGGCTCGGGCAGGTTCGCATGTTCCCACGTTTTGATGATTCTAACAATGGCACTCGACACTTTACAGGTGAGGACACGAGAATGAAATTCAGCGTCATCCCCCAACCAGGCGAAAGTGGTTTCACTCAGTGGTTGGATGCTATGAAGATGGTCGCGAAACTGCAAGGGGGAATACCACCGGAATTTCGGAAACGAGTAAGTGACCTCGTTTAAACGGACGTTTTAAGCGATAACCTGGTACAGGATCTTTCAATTGTCTCCGCGTAAGCATTTGGCAAGACCCCAACGAGGTTTTCGATAGACATTTATGGGCAGGAATTCGAAAGATGTCGTATGTCGTTCCTTCCGCGCAAGTCGTCCTCGGGGTTTCCTTTCGGTTTCGAGGGAGAATAAACTTCGACTTCGTTTTCATTGCCCTTAGTTGTGGTTGACGTTGGCGGAGCGCCATTTGGAGCAGCGCAGGGTGGACTGGAAACAGGCTGAGAAGCTCTGCTTCAACGAGTGGAGCAATCCCGACGACGAGGAATTAGGGATACAGATTGTAAAGGTGAGAATGATTCCTTCGAAGAAAATCTATGGGATGATGCGAGACGCCGAAGGCCCTGGATTCATGATTTTTGATGCCCCAATTGACCCCAGAAGGCCACCCTGCGCCATCTGTGATTTCAGTGCCAACTAAACTGTTCTCTCCCAGACCATACCCTTAAGGTGAAGTGAAACACGTCGAGGAACTTGATCAACGCCGATAAAGAAGATTTTTCTAAATGCCTACGTTGCCGACGTTCGCTTTTATATTGACAGCTGGGTCGAATTATATTGTGTATTGTACCAAATAGCATATTTCACCTGTCGTTTCCGTACAATAATTATAAAGAAATCGAAGTAAAACTCCAGAAATCCTCTGGATTCATGCCTTCTGGGGCCCTAATTGACTGCGGAGGGACCCCCTACGCCATCTGTGATTTCCAGGTCGATTAAATTTTCCCTCCGAGACCTCGTATTACCATCGTTTTAGCAAAGAAGCGCATACAACACTTTTTTTGCCTTTATTCCGTTCAAATGGGAATTTATCGATTACCAGAGTGTTCTAAATTGTCGCAAAATTGTCCTGACCCTTTCGATTCTCATATCAGAGCCTTCGATAATTGTATATTGATCGAAATATGAGAGCTCGACGGCATTTTGGTTCTGGTCTGGGCTGAGTTAAAAAATTTTTTTGAAAAATCCAAATTTTCAATGTGTCAGGACAATTCTTAGATGATCATGAGTCATGTATCAAAGTTTCGGACAGTTTGGTCCGATACCCCTAAAAAAAAGTGTTGTATTCGAACCGACTGATTTGAAGGATGTTTCACTTCACCTTAACACGTTCCGTGCCACGTGTACCACCGATAAACCTGGGGTGGTACACGGGGTGGCACGGAACGTGTTAAAAAAAGTGTCTCATGGACATGAGGGGGATTTTCATGTCCCTTTAATTTATCGTTCTCGCATCCTTGTTTGCAGGATCTCCATAGAACTGGTTGCAGTCTCTTCTGCGGCGCTGCTGGTCGCGACAACCAAGCTGTCCTTCGTCGGGTTCTGCTTGGATTTGCCCGATGGAACAAATCCGTGGGATATTGTCAAGGATTGAACGTCCTGGCCGCTCTGGTCCTGCAAGTCGTCGATCGCGCCGAGTCTTCTGCCGTCAAAGTCATGATTTATTTGATAGAAGGCGTTTTACCGGAAGGATACTTTGCCGACAACCTCCGAGGACTCTCCGTGGACATGGCAGTTTTCCGTGATCTTTTGAGGATGAGGCTGCCTAAATTGTCACGGCATCTTGAGGCTCTACAGAGCGATGCCAAAGACAAGGCGACCGGTGAGACAAGGGTTACCATGGGTTTGTATCAGTTACAATTGCTTTAGATTTTATTCCCCGTAGTAATTCCCCCTTGCCGAGGGGTTGTTCATTAGGAAATCAGTGAAAACAATTCCCCTTTTTTAAGAGCCGATTGCCTTTGATCTCATACGATTGAGAGAGAAATATTTATAGAATTTTGGCGTTAAGTACACGATGCGTTCTTTTAAATGTATATTGGAACAACATTCGCGTAAATTTTCTACTGATTAACCGTTTAATAACTCTCGTTGCAGGTAGCAGCTACGAACCACCGCTGACAAATGTATTTACTATGCAGTGGTTTCTTACATTGTTTTGTCACTGTCTACCTCAAGAGGCAGTACTTCGCGTTTGGGATCTGATATTTTTAGAGGGGGACGAGGTGCTTCTGAAAACCGCCCTTGCTATCTGGGAGGGTCTCTCCGAGTGCGTAATCAATCCAAACGAGAACGTAATCAATCAAGGAAGCGGCGTCTCTAGTTTCCCATCAACGATAGTAATGATGCTCTTTTTCTTTCAGTCGGATAATGACTGTCACATCTGCGGATGAATTTTACAGCATCATGGGAGTACTTACGCGAGAGATGCTGGAATTCACGGATACCAATAATCTTATCAAGGTAAATTTGCGGGGATTCTTCTTGCAACTCTAATGCCATGCTTTTTACGTAATATATACTTGGAGGTGAAAATTAATCATGGTGCTTTTCCGGGGTACAGGCTATCGTTAGCATGGGCCCCTTAACAGGTGTGACGGATCTTCGAGAGAAACATCGATACAATATTACCCCATGGGCTCGAAGATTGAGCGACGACGAAGATTCCGATGCCGAAGAGGACGAAAGGATCGTCGTGGCTGCTGCGATGTTCGGTATAAACCAACGCATGAAAAAAGGCAGGTTTTCGTTTTTCCCCGCGATCCAGCATTATCACACTGACAAGGAAGGTACCTGAGGTGTCCCCCTCCGATTTTGTTCATTTTTATATATGTTATAGAGGACTAAAATCTAAAGGGCCCGTGTTTTTTTTTTATCGGCGGATAAACACTTTTAGGGGGTGAAATCAGGCTTCAAAGTTGGCCGTGCAAGGGGGTGAGTTGACTGTTTCATATAGAAGCACTTAACTGATTTTCATGAAACAACCGTCAAAATGTAAGGAATGAAGAATTATGAAACATGCATTTGGAATTTTTCGAAAAAATTCATTTTTAAGGGGTGAGCCACCCCTCTGAATACTTCTTTTACCCCTTGCGCGAGCAGTGATTGCTCTATCCAAATGAAAGTTGGTTAATTTATAGACCAGAACAATACAAAAAAAGTTTCATTAGGATAGAACTATTACTGCTCGCGTAAGGGGTAGAAGAAGTATTCAAAGGGGTGGCTGACCCCTTAAAAATGAATTTTTTCGAAAAATTCCAAATGCATGTTTCATAATTCTTCATTCCCTACATTTTGACGGTTGTTTCATGAAAATCGATCGAGTGCCTCTATATAAAACAGCCAACTCACCCCCTTGCACGGCCAACCTTGAAGCCTGATTTTACCCCCTATAAGTGTTTATCCGCCGATAAAAAAAACACACGGGTCCCTTAGATTTTAGTCCTCTGTAACATGTTTAAAAATGAATAAAATCGGAGGGGGACACCTCAGGTACCTTCCTTGTAAGAAAAACCCCTTCACTGAACCGAAGATATATATCTTTGAATAGTCCGACGTTTTGTTAATTCAGAAATTAATTGTTCGACTCAAATGAGCTCGAATAAAGTGTTATTAAAATATATTCAAGTTTGAGCCAAGAAATGTTTCTACTGAATTAACAAAATATATCTGTGGTTCAATGAAATGTTTTCTTTACGGTGTATGAGATAAGTGGGTTTCTAGATGCAAGCCCATCGGTCGCCGTCTTAGGTGGTCGGTGGTCTTGATTCGACAGAATGTTAATAAGAACGATTTAATATAGATCGTGCCACTTCCTCCTTGACGATGTTGCATTCGATGGGACCCAGCAGTGATAGGGAAAGATTGGCGTTGGATATTAGCACCTTGAAACATCAGTACGCAAAGCTGCGCGAGCGTCAGCGCCAAGCTCACATCATTCTTTCCGGTAACGTAGAAAGTAAAGCATTTGATTAGTCGGAAAAGGTTCCTGCTTAAAAGGGAATCCGAAGTGTCCCATATATTGAGCGGGACTAATTGATAATAGAGAAATCGAGGTGAAAGCGACGATACTATTCCACAGCTGCCTGTGCAAGACAGTCTATGGTGGCAGCCCCGACATCTCAAGCCATGAATCACTTGCTGGTGGGGAAGAGCGCTCTGATCAGCGGTAAAAATCGTCAGTTAAGTCCTCCACCTGGTTCTTTACCTCCGAAACCGAAATCTGTCACCTTACACAGTCCTAGGACTCAAAATCGCAGAGATCGGCAAGGGATCACTCTCCACTGGAAGGACACGAAAAAAAGAAAAGAAAGGATGGACGAACGTCCAGGTACGAGCTTTAAGTTTTGCCGAATTACCTAACACGCGCGATTATCATCCCGATTTCTTATCCCCGAAGTGAACAAGACAAGGGGTTGTTCACTCTGAAATCAGTGAAAATGGTTCTCCTTTGTTTAACGTAATTTGTTAACAAGTAACAGTCATCCTTAAAATTCTGGCAATATTCTGCCGACTTTCGAGGATTCCCAATGACTTCAGCTTGGGGTTTCCAGTTGATTTCCTTAGTTTATAAAATCCAGGATTTCAGTGAGAACCTCCCTTGGAAGAAGGTCCTAAATTTTGGGGGAGCTTTCCTGGCGGTCGGCAAGGTAGATCCCCGCGTGGCGGTCGGCAAATCTAGGGTATCATCATCGAACGGTTCGCGGTGGTTCCGCGATAAACTGATTCACCCTCGACCGAACCACCTGTTAGATACCAACGGGTAAAAGTATTGACGCAGGTGTGGCACGCAGGGTCAACATCCGGTCTAGTCTAAACGCGCAAGGGCCGCACACGTCGGTCCGTTCCGCTTGCGGATCCCAAAGGCGATTTTTCTCGCGTCCGAAATCCGTTCCTTCTGATCGAGAATCGGGAACGCGATACCCGAAAGCTGGCCGGCAAAGATCCGGTATCTGGACCCGACGAAAGGCGGCTTTAAGGACGAGCCACCATTTATCGATCTGTTTCCCTTTCGCAGATGCGGGGGAAGTGGTCACGGAGCCAGCGCACTCATCCGAGGGTATGTCCGGTTCGTTAACGTCCCCGAAGAGGGGCCCGGAAGGGAGCAAGGCCGACAGTGACAGTGACAGTACGTCGACGGAATTGTGCGACGAGCCGGATAAACTCAGCGACCTGGATAGCGAGGAACAGACGTCGGCGTCCGACTACGTCATGGCAACGGACGAGGAGAAGAAGAGCCCACGAGGAGGGGATTCGCCGTCCATGAAGAGGGAAAGCGTCCCCGGAAGTGTCGCCTCATCCCAGGAGGACGGGAACCGATGTCAAGAGTCGTTGACAGGGGAAGTCGAGGTCCAGGGTCCCAAGATCACGGTCAGGAGTCAGCGAGGGGAAGACCTCTCGGACCTAGAGGAGACCTCCATAGCGGAAATCACCGACCAGATCCGCAGGTTGTCGGCTGATGACGAAGTTTACGCCGGTTTGCCACTGATGGACAATAAGAGCGACCTGGGCTCATCCGGGATGAGCGTTTCGAGGCGGGACTCGAAGTCCCTAGATGATTGGAGCGAGTCGTCGAAAAGCGACGCCGGTAAATCCCGATCCGTCAAGGGTGACTCCCTCGACGTCGGCATCGATGGAACCTCGGAGACTAGCTTGGCCACGGTAGATAGCTTCAATTTTTTAAGCCTTAGCGGCAGTCGCGAGGACGACGAAGGAACAAGGGAGAACAACTCCAAGTATCTCGAAGTCGGTAGAGTGTCCAGCGATGATGCTAGGTCCTTGGTTGAACACATTGATGTTGGGAAGAATGATGTAGAGCAGTCGGATGCGTTTCCGGAAAATGTAGGCGTTGAAAAGGACGGGGTATATTCCGATTCGTATGATGCCGGGGTTAAACACCTTCCAGGATTGTTCCCCACGTCCGTCAGCGCGAGTTTTGATAGAAAGGAGGTAGACGGAGGCGGACGGAGTCCTACGTTAAGGAGTTACGAGAAATCGTTGCAGTTCTGCGGCTCCGATTCCAGGGATTCCGAGATCCTGGGGACATCGGCGATCGCTATCCGGACTAACTATGCGAGCCCCGACGTTTCCGCGAGCACGGTACCCAAGTCTTACGCGATCGGACATATTCCGATCACCCCGGTATTAGTTGATCAGAAGCTGAGCAAGACGATGGAGTCGTCGGGCACATCGTGGACTTCGTTGCGAGAGGAAACCCCGAGTCCCGGGATGACCTGCTTCGAGAGGAACGGCTCCCTGACGAGTCCGATCTACAAGCAACAACCTACGCCGATGAAGTCCTATCCTGAGCAGAAGAAGAGCCCGAAGACTCCGGACAGCGGCAAGTCCTTCGATTCCGGGGAAACTATGGGGCCAGATTCTAAGACTTCGAGTCTGAACGCCAGTCCTCGGACTCCGCCGACCAGGTCGGAGTCTCGGACCTTCCGGACGGATAAATCGGCCTGCTCTTCCGTAAGCTCGGACTCGAAAACTCTGACCCTTCGTTCCATAGACCTGGACCCAACGAACGTCCATCCGACGAGGCTGGAGGCGAAGAAGACCTCCTACGAGAAATCGAGCCCGTCCACTCCCATCAGCTCGGACTCCTTGAAGAACAAATCCGACGCCAGTCTGAAACTGGTCGTCAGCAGCTCCAGCGACTCCTGCAGTCCCGAGAAGTTGAAGTCTTCCGACAGGTCGTTCAGCTCGGAGCTGCAGTCGCCGATTAGTGCCAATTCCATTAAGTACACCTCCAACTGCAAAGGAGGGCCCGACAACCCCTCCGAGTCTCCGCTGGACCTGAGCGCAGCTACGTCGCCATTTTACCCGATTGCACACCCTAACCAGAAGACTCCGTCACCGTATTCCGTTTCAAAACAGAAAAACGGGACGGACAGCGCGGAAACGTCCCCAGAGATGAAATCTACGAGCTCGAAAGAGTCCACGAAACCGACAGGGTACCGACAGAACGGCCACCAGGGGATTCCTAAGAACAATAGAGGCAACGAACTTGGGCTTTCGGATAGTCAAGGCTACAGAAAGGTGGAGCGACGCTTTTGCAAAGGGAATCAGGAGCTGGAGAGTACAAGGCCAAGGACTATGGAGAAGGACGTGGCCCTGTACGAGTCGGAGTTTCAAGATGAAAGTAGGCAGAGGAGCAGAAAGTCCTTCGTGGAAGACGATCTTCGGGATGTCTATTCGGAGAAGGACACGGTGGCACCCTTGCCGATCCACAAGGTGGACAAGAGATCACTCCTGGGGAACAGGTGTGGGATTTTTCAGACCGAGAAGACTACCGAACGGCAGGAGAATCAGGAATACTCGAAGCCTTTCGAGAGAAGCTACAGTAGCCTGGACAAGAGCTTCGCGGATCTGAAGGGGTCCATCTACGCGGGGAATTTCGACACTTCTACCGTGAAGAAGAGGTCCAGCGACATCTTGGAGGATATTAAACACCTGGAATCGAAAACCACGGCCGACAGTGCCCCGGATACCGGGATCCTGACCAAGAAGACCGGGTACATCCTGGAGGACTTGAAGGACCTAGAAGCCAGACGTCAGGACACCTTCAGCGACTCTGCCAGCGGTCTTTCAAAATGTCGTCTGGATGCCCTGGGAGCTGATTTCGTCGCCGACAGAAGGAAGTCGTACGTGGTGGAGCCTAAGATTAATATCGACGAGAACAGCGACAGCATCCTGAAGAGTCTGGCGCTGAACAACGACGGGAAGGAGGACGACAAGGAATCGAAACTCGGCGTCTGGACGAAAGTGAAGCCTCGGAAAAGGGGGAATGACGGAAGAAGGAGCAGCAGCGACAGGGCACTGAAGATCATACAGGAGAACTCGGCGATTCTTCACAAGATCCTGACTTGCCAGGCGAAGAAGAGGCTGCCGGACCTGGAGGAGATTTCTAAGGAGATCACCATCAGCCCTATAAACGAGGAGATATCGAAGATATTCAGCCCCATCTTGGAGAGGATCGGTCTGAACGAGGAGGAGATCAACGAGGAGCTGGCCAGGATCAATTTGAAGGACTTCGATCAGATGGCCGCGACCGGAGGGTCGGAGTTCGACGCCAAGATCAACGACGAGCTCTCCAGGTTGTCTCTGATAGACGACTCGGAGGTGGACCATTTAAGGGTGGACGATATAGTTTCCCGGGACTATTTGGAGACGAGGGATGCCTTGATAGACCGACAGATTAACGAGGAGCTGTCCAAGTTGCTGGCGAACTACGAAGAGAGATCCGGCATGCGCGACGCCAGGTCCTCCAGTCAAAACGTCAGCGACCTGGAGGCCCTGGACTTCTCCAGCGGGTCCACCAACGTTTTCTCCTACAAGTCCAACGATTCGATCGAGACGAAGGGCGAGCTGGAATCGGTCGAAGCTAATCTCGAGCCGGAAAAGTTCTCCCCGTTCTTGGCGGACGACTCTTTGATGTACGGCTCCTCGGGGTACAATGGTCGCGACTTGTCGGCGAAAAGTGACATCGACATTTACAGAGAGCTGGAGAAATTGGACAAGATATCGGCGGCGCAAGTGTTCCCACGAGGCAACGCCGAAACGGCGGAGGTGACATCGAATGCTGGGCCTTCGGCCGTTTACGTTTCCGAGCCCACGTCCTTTATCCCCGAGACCGTCAACTACGTTCCAGAGTCCGTCCCTTATATCCCGAAGTCGGCTCCTTATATCTCTGATTCGGCTTCTTATATCTCCGAAGCCATGCCCTACGTCTCGAAAGCGATCCCTTATGCGTCGAACCCGGTCCATTTCAAAGACGCAAGTCCCATCGAGATCGACTATTCGAGACCGGAGAAACCGTTCGACTCGTCGCCATCGAGGAGTCCCTACGACGACTTCAAGCCCTACGACTTCAAGTCGAGAATCTCTCCTAGAAAAGGATCCAAGGATCCGTACTCCTCGAGTTCTCGTGAAAAGTCCGCGATCGAGCCTACGATCGAGCCTACCTTCGAGTACACCGAGCGACTCTCCGCGACTTCGCCTCGCCTATACGACCTGGGGGTCAAAAGACAGATCGTGTCAAAGGAGTCCCTGGAGTTCCGAGTGAGATACGACGATGAACAGGCTCGTCAGATCAGGACGAACGATTTGACGCTGAGACCTTTCCAGACCGAATTGGAGGCCCTTGACAAAGGGGCTCCATACTACAACGACGACTCCACCATCAATAAATACACCCCTAAAGGCAAATTGAGTCTGGCAGGGGGTTTACCGAGTCAGCTGGACTACGTCTACGAAAAACCCGAGGGGCTTGGTCGGAATTACGAAGAGCTCTCTCCGGAGGACTACAAATTCACCAAGAGCAAGGACCTCCAGAGGCAAGCCTTCCCGTCTCCGCTCTCCGACAAGGAGCCCAATTTCGGGTCTTACTTGTCGCTGCGATTAGGAGACTCTCGGGCCTTGTCCACCAATTATCATCTTTCGGACCGGAAGTTCCCGGATTCCGGTCAGTTTTACGCACCTAAGCTTTCCCCCAGCCTGGAGGACGTTGCGAAGAGACCCGTCTCCCATCCGGAGTTTCCTGATAAGCCGAGTGCCTCGAAATTCCCGGACTCGTCCTCGAGCTACTCGGCTAGCAACCGGAAGTCCTCCTTGAGTCTTGGGAATATCGGACACCCTAGCAAGATCGCCGAGCAAACCTTGGAGAAGATCCTTAGTCCCAAGATGCAATTCAGTCCCTTTCCCGTGAGGAATACCGTCAAGAAACCGAAAGAATTGGGCCTTAAATTAGGACTCTATTCGCCTACTAATTCTAATGGCAACGCACTCAAGAGGTCGTAGTCTCGAACCTTTCCACCGGGTTTCTACCGGAGCTTGGATTCCTTTCGACTCTCGACGGGGAAAAAAAAAAAGAATGGCCAGGAAAACAAGATTCGTGGTAATCGTTGTATCATTTTGGGACACCCCTTTGGGCTTTTCCTGACCATCCTTCGATTTTTTCCCCGTGCACCGATCGCTAACCTTTTCGCCCGCGAGTCGCGCGAGCTCTTATTTTCTTAACAACGATCTAATTTAACATCCGAATAGTATTTGTTATGCAAACGAGCGGCTCTTCCGTGGAACTTTACGATCGAGCGCTCCTCTTCGACTTCCGATATCAATTAGCGTGCGATTAGCGATGCGCGATTAAGGCATCACGAAAGGGTCATTCTGTATGTATCGAGACGTCAAAATATTTTTTAAAACCTCCACGCTCATTCGAAACTTTAACGCGTGATTATGGAGGTCCTAATGAGGGCCTTGAAACTCGGGAAATTTTAATTGACGAAAAAAATTCCTTTTTTCAGCTCTTCTCTGAATGAAAGAATTTTTTCTACGAAAAATGAAATTTCCTGGGTTTCGAGACCTTCGTTAGGACCTCCATAATCACGTGTTAGGGTTTCAAATGATTCGGGGCACCCGGTTTGGAGAAATGTTTTATTAATATTCTGACGTTTCTATGTATACGGCACGACCTTTTCGTAACACCTTAACATCTTTCCGTTGAAACACTCGTTAGAATGCGATTCGCTGCCTAGCTTTAGTATCGGCACATCCGAGATACGGTATCGTCGTTTTGCCGCGATTTCCGCCATCCGCTACGACTATAGTACAGAGTTAACATTTAAACCACGTACTTTAAGGCGATATGAAAGGGTCACTGTACACATCAAAACCTAAAAGTATCACAAATGTTAAAACATTTCCCCAAATCGTATGCCCCGAATAATTTGAAGCTTCAACTTCAATTCCGGAGGTCCTAACGATGGTCTTGAAACTCAAGAAATTATAATTTACAACCAAAAAAAAATAGTACTTATCCGAGATAAATAACAATTTTTTCTTTGCCGGAAACGGAAATTTCCCGAGTTTTAAGACCATCATTAGGACCTCCGTAATCATGGGTTAAGGTTTCAAATTATTCGGCGCGCCTAATTTGGAGAAAAGTTGTATATTTTGATTTTTTGAGGTACTTTCATAAGACCTTAAGCGGCACGCTCGCGACGACGTATCGTGGGCCACTTTTCAGATTTCTTGGATATCGAAACGCTGAATCAACCTATACATCCCTCGGGAATTAGTGGCTCTCGCGTTCACGAGGAACGGATAGAAGGAACTAAAAGGGATGAATAGTAACAAAGTGGGCCTAAACTATTGCGAAAGGGGAGGGGGAGTTATTAACTGTAAGAAGTACAATCACCGAGAGATCGTTATATCTGACGATTCCTTTCTGTTCCTGGTCTACCGATTCGGGGGATTTTCTTGATCTACGCGTAGTACGATTACCGAGGCGATGACGATCCGAATGGAACTCTCGTGTCTTTGTCACTTGAAAGTTTGTAGATACTAATAAGGATATCGGAGCGCGCGTTTATTTTAGACCGTGGAAGGAAGGCACGTAATGCGGCGTGCACCCAGAAAGAGAGAATTATCATTTAGGGGATAAGTATAGCGATCTACGAAACGGTCCTTCAACGATGTTCCTCGACGTATCGTACCGTACGTATCGATCTACTTAACGCGACGACGTTAACGATCAGCCATTTCGTATCGCTTCGATCGAATATCCGCACACCGACAGCTTTGGATTTTCATTAAGAGTTGCGCGCATCAAACGTTTCGATCGATTTCCCGACCGCTTTGAGCCGCGACGGCGTTTCACGTTTACGTTTCACGCCGCCGTTCGGCCGCATCCTTATTTCCCGTGCGCGGAGCAAGTACGCCGACCTTAGGTCGGATATAACGAGAAAGTATTAATAGAGAAAGGCTTTAATAGAGGATGTTAATCCCGAGTTTCTTGCAGTTTTTACGAGGAGGGAAACGATAGAGCTAAAAGCGTCCTTATCAAGTGCCAGCGGTAGCGAGGGACATTCCCACCGATCGTCTGCTCGGCGTTTGTTGCATCGAAACACCCACGAAGTGGTATAAGGAGATAGAAAGCTTTAGTGCCTCTTAATTTGCAATTAAAAATTACCCTCCGCTAGCATGTCCATTAATTTTTATCACGTTGGAAACATCACATTCTGTATATCGCAAGCGGATTATCGTCACGCGTTGGGTTAATTGCAAGGTAAAAAACATTTTAGGTAAATTACATCGGTAGGAAGGGTTTTTTTTAGTTTGGTTACGTAGTATCGGAGTTCCCTAATCTCCCGCGAGTGGCGCTCGCTTCGTTAAGCGAAAATCTGAGACCTCTCTCCTTATGCTACTTCACGGGAACACCGCTTAGTTAGCTTCGACGAGTTCTCCAAAAGCATTCGACTGGTTTACAGCGGCGGGGATTTAGGTTCACTTTGTTAAACCACTTCCGAGCTGTACTAACGACAATATACACGAAGCGTTTGTTGCATCGAAACACCCACGAAGTGGTATAAGGAGATAGAAAGCTTTAGTGCCAAGAGAGGCTCTTAGTTTGCAATTAAAAATTACCTTTCGCTAGCATGCCTGGTAATTTTTATCACGTTGGAAACATCACATTCTGTATATCGCAAGCGGATTATCGCCGCGCGTTGGGTTAATTGCAAGGTAAAAAACATTTTAGGTAAATTACATCCGTAGGAATTGTTTTTTCAGTTTGATTACGTAGTATCGGAGTTCCCTAATTTCCCGCGAGTGGCGCTCGCTTCGTTAAGCGAAAATCTGAGACCTCTCTCCTTATGCTACTTCACGGGAACACCGCTTAGTTAGCTCCGACGAGTTCTCCAAAGGCATTCGACTGTTTGCAGCGACGGGGATTTAGGTTCACTTTGTTAAACCACTTCCGAGCTGTACTAACGACAATATACACGAAGCGTATGGATCGTAAGCATCGGCGGAAGGGATCTCTTAATAATTTCGTCATTCCTTGTCGACAGAGGACGAAGAAGCGACACGTGGAGGACGGCGAGGGTTTGTTATAGAAATTAGAGTGGAGGGGAAGAGACATCGCCTTCCGGCCTCTACCATCCGGAAGAACCTGGAAGGTGTTCCGGAAGTCGGGATGATCGATTAAGGACGGCGATGCGCGCGCAGGAGTGTCCTTACGAAGGAGGTACGCGGTTGGTTCGTGATATGCGCGAGATACATGTACATAGTAATTGGCACGTGTCCCGGCTGACATAAGACTGTATATTTGACGAGCATAGCATTGTAAGAAATTGTAAGAAAGAAAAAAAAGAAGAAAAACAACAAAAGCTGGAATAAAAATATTCACACGATCTCGTAGTTAAGTCCCATCGCGCTTTCGGGTGATCCACGCGAGGCTCGAAGAAACAAATCTATTCGTCGACCGACGTTCTCGGGAATGACCGAAAACGCTTTATCGTATCTCTTGAGATGTCCCGTTGCCGTTTCTTCGAGCAATCGAAGTTTCCGAAACTTATGACGACCGGGGGAATATCTATTCATCGTCCACGGTATCTGACTCCGAGAGGGAGCGTTTCCAGTTGGAAAGTTATCTCGACAATCAAGTAAGGACGGCTCCCCTCTGTCCAAGGAAAATTTAATCAAAGTTTCCTCCCGAGGCAAGCGCATGTAAGCACGTACATATGTACGTAGATGTGCCATTCCCCTTGCACCCGATCGTCCCGATGTCGGCGACGATTGCGAGAGATCGATTGTCCCAAAGTACCTTCCACGAGGAACTTTCGTTCAATGCCGAAAGTCGGGGGGACCTGGGGAATCTATCTTCCGAAGATGCGGCTATGAATGTCCATACCGCCAACGGGAGAAAAGGTACGCCACACCTGTTCGAAATACTCCGACAGTGGGAACGAAATCGATCACTTAAGGTGATAAGAAAGTGGTATCAAAGAGTTCGCGTTCATGGAAATTTCCTCCAAAGAGGATATACCGAGTCGATTCAAGTCTTACAATATAAACACGAAGGGCATAAGGAAGGTCTGAAACTCGTGAGATTTCAATGTTCCCAAAATTGGTATATATATTTTTTTTTCCAGAATTTGTTATAAATATTGAAATTTAGAGTTGGAAATGGTTCGGTGCATCCAGTGTCGGGGAAAAGTTACATGGACGTCACTTTCACATCGCCTTAAGGTGAAGTGAAACACGTCGAGGAACTTGATCAACGTCGATAAAGAAGATTTTTCTAAATGCCCATGTTGTCCACGTTCGTTTTTATATTGACAGCTGGGTCGAATTATATTGTGTATTGTACCAAATAGCATATTCCACCTGTCGTTTTCGTACAATAATTATAAAGAAGTCGAAGTAAAACTCCAGAAATCCTCTGGATTCATGCCTTCTGGGACCCTAATTGACTGCGGAGGGACCCCCTGCGCCATCTGTGATTTCCAGGTCAATTAAATTTTCCCTCCGAGACCTCGTATTACCATCGTTTTAGCAAAGAAGCGCATACAACACTTTTTTGCCTTTATTCCGTTCAAATGCGAATTTATCGATTACCAGAGTGTTCTAAATTGTCGTAAAATTGTCCTGACCCTTTCGATTCTCATATCAGAGCCTTCGATAATTGTATATTGATCGAAATATGAGAGCTCGACGCCATTTTGGTTCTGGTCTGGGCTGAGTTAAAAAATTGGTTTGAAAAATCCAAATTTTCAATGTGTCAGGACAATTCTTAGATGATCATGAGTCATGTATCAAAGTTTCGGACAGTTTGGTCCGATACCCCTAAAAAAAAGTGTTGTATTCGAACCGACTGATTTGAAGGATGTTTCACTTCACCTTAAGGCGGTATGAAAGTGACGTCAGAGGCCTCGTATCGATTCGCTCGAGTCGATTCCCCGGAAATCGAACGGATCCCTGGAATACCACCCGAGACGTCCTAATGGATCGGATTAAAAGCCGGAGGGAGTTAACGTAATAATTACAAGAGCCCCGCGTCCCCCGACCTGGCACTTAACGTTTCCATAAATGTCTTACGAGCTGCGAAAGACACCGATCTCCAGGAATAATGCAGTGGGTAAGGTCAGATTGTACGTATTACGTATATTAGGAGGACTAAATCCAATTACTCCGTCTGACCGGAGCCGAAGCAAAGTTCCTTCCGAACCGGCCGCCCTCGACTTCGGCGACGTCCCATTGAAATTCCATTCTCGTGGTGGCGGCCCTTTCCTCGGGAACTCCCCGGAAGAAGGACGGGAGCGGCAGGGTGGAGTTGTAAAGTGAAGCCTGGAAGGCAAAGCGAGGCGAGGCGCAGGACAGAGAA